TCCTAGGGCAATACTTTCAGAGCTTGCAGTTTGGACACTCCCCTTTTGTCCTGTGGGTTTAGCATCGCTCCACTTCCGTGGGGTTCAAGTGAAGCACAAGCCTTGCAATGGGCCCTGCCTCACTTGCACTGTCACTCCCTGGGAGGAGGGGGACACTTTCCAAATGAAGGTATTTATACTAAGAAGCAACTCAACAAAAAATCTGGTCTCAGGATGGCTGAAACTAACCTGAGCTGAACCGGTGATGGCACACAACAGGGATTAAGTATCAAAGTAAGACAGAGGTTCCCCTCACCTGCCAAAGGCATCTTGCTGGAACAGTGCCAGGGAAGTTAAAGGTGTTGGAGCAGCATGAAGGCAAGGGAAGGCCTTGCCCATAGTTTGGTGAACTGTACCAACTACAGCTGCTGCTGTGACACCCCCACAACCAGCTCAGCATGGAGAAAATACTGCTGCAGCCTCTCTCTCCTCCTCCCTTTTGCCAGTCCCTGCTCTTCTCCACAAAGCCTTGTGAGCTTCCAGCACTTTCTCTTTGCTGCTCCCCAGCCCTTGGTCTGGAAGTTCCTGCTATGCACTGAGGTTGTTTTGTTCAGATTTCAGAGCCACAGGCTGTATGTTCAGGGCATGAACCAGTCCCTCACCAAGTGCACGTGGTAAATGGGCTGTTTTCTGTGGTGGGCAAAAAAACAAGGAGTGACTTGTACCTTCCAGCACAGGGCTTTTCTATTGTGCTTTTTTGTTTTAGCATCTTTTCCCTCTTTGCCTTTGACATGCACTGTACTATTAATGCACACAGAGCACGTCAGAAGAGCTCACACTGTCACCAGTGAGATGGATGTAGCTCCTTTAGCTGGCCTTGGGGGACAGGAGCCACCTTCTCCTTTGTCACCTTCCCTGTGACTGCCAGAGTCATGACGTATTTTATCCCACGTTAATTGTACTTCCTCATTGATGCTGTAACCAGCTTCATTTCCTGTCAGTAAGACATTTAAAGCTGTTTATGCTTTGGTGTTCTGGTGTACCACCCCTGCAAATGCCAACAGCTACATCACGGTTCAGGATGTGGTGATTTTATTCCGCAATTGCCCATTTCTGTTTGGTTTATATCATTCCCAGAGAACTGGTATGGGGAAAAAAGGGCAGCATGAAGGGAAACCTAACAGAGCTAGGCTAGTATCAAGGCACCACCTTTATTAAATAAACAGAGCTGTAAGGGTGGTAGGGTGCCACATCTAATACCCTTCTCCAAGGCTCTGCTGAGCATCCATCCCCACTCATCCTCTTTGTGGAAGCCTCCTTCCCCCCTGCTGGAGGCAGGAGAGGAGCTGCATGTCCCCCTCTCCCTGCCTCCTGGGAGGAGGTGCTGCCACTGTGGGAGCAGTGCAGGAGGCAGCCAGGGTGGAACAGGAGGCAAAGGCAGCAGAGCCCCAGTGTCCCCTACCCAATCGCAGGTAAGGGCTACTGTAAAGACAAAACAATTGCCCTCCTCCCTGTAACCACCTTTTAAACCCACATTTCTTTACATTGTCACATTAAATAACATCACAGTAGTTTTCAGCTTGCTCACTCTATCAAAAAACCCTCTTTTCCTACAGACCAAGTAAGGGAGGACATTTTATGTTCCTACAGTGGTACCTGTTTATCTGTGCCAGCCAAAACCTCACAAACTTCCTAGAACAGTAAGTGCCTGGCTCCATTTTCATTCTTAACTACAGCTACAGAGGGATGGTTTCTGAAAACCTGTTTTGTAATTACAGTGCAGGATACAAAGGAATCTATTTCCATGCTGGGCTCCTTTAATTGCAATTTATATAATTTTATTGTGATCCTTAAATTCTCAGTATTTCTTGATGTGGGACACATCAAAGCTTAAAAGTTCTACTTAGGTTAACTCCCATACCTGCAGAGCTCTGCACACAAAACAGTGCCTTTACTTCATCTTAGGTGAATTTTCTTTGTCACTGAGCTGAACTAGTACAAAATGCCTGATAACCTTTTTCTTCAGTGAAACTAAGTTTGGCTATGCTCAAACTTAGATGAAATTAATTGCAATGAATAGATCTTAAATGTCCATTTTCTCCTTACTGCTGTGTCACCCTTATATTTTATGAAAAATCCTTTTGCCAGGATCTTTTCTTCTGAGAAGCTGGGAAGCTTCAGCTTCTCCATGTTTTGCTGCTTTGGAATGTGATTTGGAGAACTGTTTACCCAGCATGTGAAATTGTTTTTCCTTGATGACCAATGACAGCCACCTGTGTCGAGGCTGTGAGCAGTCACAAGATTTTGTTATTCATTCCTTTCTATTCCTTTCTAGCCTTCTGAAGGATCTTTTATCTCTATTCTTTTAGTATAGTTTTAATACAGCATTTTAATATAATATATATCACAATAGAATAAATAAGCCTTCTGAAACATGGAGTCAAGATTCTCCTCTCTTCACTTGTCCTGGGACCCTCAAACACAACCATACTGCTGTCTGAACTTCCATTTGTCCTTGGATGAACCTTCTGGTTAACAGCACAGTGGATTTCAATTGTTGGGTTGGGTTTTTTTCCCTCTTTCCCATGTATCTAGTTTATTAAAGAAAGACAGAAAGAAAGTTAAATGAATGCAACCAAATACAAGTACCCTCAAGCCAAATTCTGAAAAATGTTGTCTCCTTTGTTTTTCCTCACATCAGGTAACCATTCCAAGTTTAACCTGCACCCACCTATTGTGAAGCCTTAAAAGAAAGGCAGAGAGGGTGTGGGATGGGGTAAGAAAGGGGGAAGACTAATTACTAGAGGAATTTCAAAATCTTTCACTATCTGCAGGTACATAAATTGTGAATAACAGTAAAATTCAGTACTTTAATTCAAGCTGAAGGTGTGCCAGACTTTACTCTGCACAAAGCAGCTGCTGTGCCCAGGGGACATCACTGAGGTGTGAAGGTAGAGTCTGACTTCATGTGACAACTGCACATCCCCAAGGACCTGCACGTGCTCAGCTGCCTGGTCACATGCAGACAGCAGCACTATACAGAATCATGGAATTATTAAGGTCAGAAAAGACCTCCAAGATCATCAAGGCCAACTTTTAACTGAACACCACCCTGTCAACGAAACTGTATCACTGTGTGCCACATCCAATGACTCCACCACTGCCCTGGGGAGCCTGGTCCAATGCTTGACAACCCTTTCCATGAAGAAATAGAGTAAGTCCCGTAACTCTGGACGGTCCAAAAGTACCAATTTTAGCAATGTTAGGAGAAACTGTTCACACTCTTCTGGCAAACTTGAAGTTCCTATGCTCTTTAATACTCCCACCAAACTTGTATTCATGGCAGACTCTCTCTTCCCTTCACAGCACCCACTCCCCAGCCCAATAATTTCAAAACCCTCCTGTCTGTAGTCTTTAAAAAAAGCAAGCAAAAGAACAGAAGAAACCAAAACTTGTTTCAACACTGCAGCTTTCCTCCCCCAGAGCAGATGATCCTTGTCTCTGTGCTATTTATATTTGTGTATTAGATTTTCTTGCCAATTCATCATTTCATTGAAAAATAGCCTGGTTCTGCCCTTTCTTGTACTTTCTGAGTACTCCTTGCCCTCTTCCTGCAGCCCAGCTGCAGAGTGAAGGGTTTGGGGTGCACCTCCCAGGCCATGCCCTACCCCTACTACTCTTCTGCCACAGGCACAGTAGGGAAGCAACACGGAAACTAAAGGAAGCCCAGCTCACACTTTTCCATCCTGAAAGCTTTGCAAGAATCCTCGAAGATACAGGAAGCAAGGAGGTACTGAAGTCCAAGACAGTACTGGCTGCATCTATGACAAAGGCACAGAGCACTAGAGCACAAAAGCATTATTTTCCATAGGAAAGAAATACAAATTCTTCTGCAAAGCGGAAATGAACCAGAGGCTGTCCACTTTTACTCTTAGGCAGGCAACTCGGTAGAAACTGCTGAATTACACAGCTCTGACCAAGTGCTTTCAGAAGGCTTCTGGACTGAAGTTCAGGTTTGGGTTGGTTTTCCTAGTTGAACTGACTGGAGCAGTCTGGATCACAGGTACTGGGCATCACTGATAGTACTGTGTTGAGATATTCTCCAGTCACATACATTTAGATTAGTACAATTTCCCTCACCCTGAAGTTCAAGCATGCAGTTTTCCTGAGCTTTGAGACCAGTATTCCCGAGCTTGCAGTTCACGCTGCAGTTGGGTCCCTGCACAGAAAATTCTGAAACTTAAAATTCTGTTTAAACAGCTCAAATTGTGACTCATGGCTCCTTTAGAGAGGAAAGTGTGTCTAGAGAAGTCACAGAACATTTCTGTAGAGACAGTGAAGTTCAACAGCCACAGTTAAAAGTCACCTTGAACGAGCTCCTTTAGAGAGGAAAGTGTGTCTAGAGAAGTCACAGAACATTTCTGTGGAGACAGTTAAAAGTCACCTTGAACGAACAAGGGAATTGCCAATAATTTCCACTGTTCCCATCAGCTCAGCTGCAGTGAAGAGGATGTGTGAGTGGAAAGCCTACCAGGAATGACTTGCAGCTCCTCTCTCCACAGTCAAATGAACAGGAAAGACAACTTCAGGAAATCCAGAACTCATCCAGCAGTGCTTCAGCAGTAACACAAGGGATCCTCTTCTCATAGAAACACCGCTGCAGGGCTGCAGAGACGGACTGGATGGAGGTGCTGCGCTGCTGAAGTTACAGTGGCAGCAGCAGCTGCTTGTTACCCTCATTTCCTCCCACAGCACACTCGGGCGACAACACTTGATGGGTGATGGTGGAGAGCACAACTGAAGTTATTACAAGGCAGCCCACACACTCACTTCACCATCGGGATGGCCTTTCTAATGAGAAACACCCAAAACCATCTGCAGCAGCCTATGTAACCCTGAGAACATTCCTGTAGATCCAGTAAATAATACATAAAGACAGGGAGAAGAGCAGCTATGACTATGAATTGATGGAAGCAGCTACAGAAGTTCAGTGTGCTAGCAACAAGAAAACCTCCTGCAAAAACAACTTAAAATGACTTTATTTTTAAGTATATTAGCACAATATTTACAAAATCGTTTCATGTTTCATAAATAAAAACAGTTTCTTGGGTAAAGACTATAGATCTATAGATATTTAAAATGTCTATATATTTATATATACACACATATGTACACACACAAATGAAAACATAAGTTATGAACAACTTTGGTTTAAATTACTGGTGGGAAAGGGCTGGCTGGGTGTACCAATGACTTTTTGAACACTCACTTTTCAATTCCCACCTACAAGAAATCCAGCCCTTAATGCAACAGGATGGTGGGTTTCTCCCATTTCTGGGACCACAATTCTGCAGCCCATAGCCAGCCACTGAGCTCCTCAGGTTTTGACAATTCCTAGGAACAGCTCAGCCTGATCCCACAGTGACACAGCGGGGTTCTACTGCAGTTTGCTTTACAGAAATTAACATAAAGCTATTATAAATAATTGTTTTTATAAGGCAGAATACCTCTAAAGAATTCCAGTTGATTTGGTTTTTTATTCCTCTGCTGCTAAGACTTGCAACTTGCCAGAGGGAATCACTAGTTATAAACAGGGAACACTGCACAATACTAAATTAGAAAAATTTTTATAGTGAATTGTAATGGAGAACCATCTCCCATCTTTAGTTAGGTATCACTGAGATTATGGAAAAACCTGCACCAAAATATTCATCTGTAAGAGCTCAAACCTTACACGAATAATCCCACTGGCAAGGGAGGACAGTAAATGTGAGCCATATATGATTCTCCCATATTTTATCGCATGTGTGACCCTCTTCCCTGTGCCCAGTTCCACTGATCCCAGTGAGAGCTGGCCCATAGCTTGCCTAAAATGGCTCAGTCCTGCAGCCTTGGCAAGAGGGACGATTCTGACAGCACCTACTGTAGAATCAGACACCTCAGTTTTGCTTTGTTGAATTCTTAATGTGACTCGGGAGTTCAACGTGCAGAGACTCAAATCCCTGTGACATGCACCCACAACATGGATATGAACTTTGATTTGGAACATTCAATTCTGAGAACTGCCAAATTACTCGGGAACTTTAAAAACATGGATTTTATTATGTGACTTTGGTAACAGCTTTCCAAAGCTGCCCAACTTTTAAATTGTTAGAAGGAGAAAACCGTGTGTGCCTTTGAAATACAGTACCTTAGTACAAACAGGAAACAGTGTCAAGATTTCTACAAAGCATACACAAAGTCCAAGAGCAGCTAACTATATTGGAACAACTCTCAAAATAGCTGTAGAACATAGCTGTAAAACATAGAATCTCATGGAATGTGCAAGTCCTAGTAAACTGATTTTTAACCACATCATCATTAGATATATACAGAAACTGAGCTTCCTCACTCCTCATCAGCTCCTCCTACTTTTTATTTTATGTATTTATGATGTAATGGTAGCAACACAAACCTGGGCCAGAAATTATATCGCTCTTTTCCATTCAAGAAAACAAGGTTTTAAACTGTCAAAAATATACTAAATAGGAAACTCCTATTTTTATGAAGGATCCACAACTTTCACAAATTCACTGAGTTAAGAAAGCCTGAAATTGCTTCCAATTCCACACACTGCACAACATGAACACATACAAGAACCACATTCAGCATTAAGATTACCAGCTCCTGTGCTCTGTAATTCCAGTGCTGAATTAGGCTCCAACAGCTGAGCAGTTTCTCATCAAAGGATACAGAGGAGGCACGGAGAGCCCTCTCACTGGACAAAAATATCAGCCACCAGAGCACACATGACTACTGTCCACAGAGAGGCATACCAACATCTTGTGGAATTAGAACTTAGTTAATAATTTCAGGAGAGCTGGGAGTAAACTTTGTACTTATGCAACTTTGTGTGTAACTTTGTATTTCTTTAATAAAAATTTGCTGAATGTCAGAAAAGATGTATTTGTACAATCTCTACTTCCTGCTTGTATCATACACATAAACCATACTTTGTCCATGCACACAAATAAAGAAAACAATAGTCTAAATGGTATTGCAATCTCCGGGCTCAGCAGGCCCATTATCAAAGCAGTGACTAATGATAGTTTTTAAAAATAATACCACTAAGGATTACTGCAGGGAGACTCTGTACTGGGCAAATAATGCTTTTTATATTCTCACCCTCAACCATCCCATATACACCATAACAAAACAAAATAAAGATCACATGTGGGCAAGCACACATGTTCCTTGCTACAGCTGCTGTGACTATAAAATAATGTCATTTATATCAAAAGCACTTTTGCCACACATGCAGAACAACTAGAGTCCTGAATTTCTTCTCGATGAGTAGTGCATCTTCAAGGCCACGGCGTATCAACAACGGTGTACTTTTTATATACGCATCACATAACTCTGCAGTTCTGGGAATTTAAAAAGAAAGAAAAAGAAATGTTGTTTGGGAAGAACAGCAATGTTTTGTGCTGCTTATGCAAGTCACAACTTAGAGATGTTTTTTTCATTTCAAAACTGAAAGCACATTTAGCATTCAAATAGTGGAAAAAGATGTTACTAACAGCAAGGGATGTTTCAGCTCTCCACAAAAGAAAGGTGGACACTGTCTTGGAGCTTTCACCTGTGAATTTGAGTAAGCTGATGTGGCTCATAGGCTCAGCTGTCTAACTCACCCTGTCCAGATATTCTAATGCTAATTTACTTTCACATGCTATTTTGTAAGCTGGTCAGCTTCAGCATCTGATTCATCCCTGCTTCAGTGTGTGAATTTTCCAGGGAAGGTTAACACAGAAGCAGGTGAAGTCAACAGGTTACTGCCTCCAGTGTGTGAGTCAGAGCATTTGCTTTCCATCTGTAAAACCTTCTGTCACTGGTTAGCAGCCATCTTTCAGAGCAGAAAAAACAGACAGTCTTCTACCTCTACCCTAAAATTAAATAGGTAGTCGACAATTTCTGTGCTTTTGGAAGCTTCACCTCAGCACTAGAGGGTAGGTTTACATAACCTAAATGAAACACAAGGAAAAACAAGCAACTTATTTAAAATTGATCTCCAAGCAAAATTTTGCCTTGTTCTTCAGCAGGTTAAGGTAACTGCAGAGAACCCATCCTGATCTCCCTTCTGGTCTGCTCTGATGCAATGGACTGGCAAATATCTACTTGTTTCCTGGTCTCAACTGTGACAAGAATAAGCAGTGGCCAGTCCTGGGGCAGGCCCTGCCATCCACTCCAGCCAGTTCAGATTACACTAGCTGGTATACATTTACCAATGTGTTTATGAGACACCAGTGCACTTGTCCTGTGTACTGTAGAAGTGCTTGTATTCTTATTGGTTTAGAAAATAATTATATGGGATATTTGGATGAACCAAATGTAGTAGTCATAAGCAACACAAATCAAACAGCACATGGTATTTGTAAGGAAACCTGTTTTTAAAACTTATACACCTTTTTCCAATTAGAGCTAACTGGTAACTCATTTATTTGCTCGCTGTCAATTCATGCCTCCTAGAAATGGCATGATATAGAAGTATTTCAAGTGAGCTAACAGATCTGGAGTGATTCCTCCCAAGTAGCAAAATGTTGTAATTGAATGCAGGAATACTAGGATAAGGGTCTAGTGATACCTCATGACAAACTTACTCAGTATTCAGGTAGAAACCTAAGTAACAACAGCATCAACAAGTGCTTTATCCTATTCCCATGAAAAGTACAGCTACTGAACAGAAAAGACTCAATAGCACTGTTTTCAGTTTCAAACCTTATCATCTAGCTTAACATTTAAGCTCTTCAATGAGAGCAATCTGAAAAATAATAAATTGAGTGAAATCTGATTGGGATACAATCTAACAAAACCCAGAGAATTCAAGTAACACCTAAAGAAAGGGAGAGGGAGTGAAAGTTAATTATAAACCACTTTCCTGTGAATTTCCATTGGAGATCAATTAAATGCAGAGAGAAAGCTTAGTTATATCAACAACAATAAAACAAAACAAACAAACAAAAAACCCCTCCCCAAAAGCAACAACCAAAAACCCCCACACCCAAATAGAATAACCCACCACCAAGGAAACATTCCATGCATCTTAAATACTACATGAGCAAGAAGGAAACATAAAGCTATTTGGCTTTCCACATTTGACCAGAAACACACTATTGCACAGTCCTCTCACTGACTCATCCTCCTCACTGTTTAGGAATACACATTCTTCCCCTATGTTTGATATAGGATACATGTATTCCTTCAATTAAATACAATTTGAATAAGAACAGCACCTGCCCTGAAACCTGTCTTCCAAGTTTCATTGAATTAGTACTGGGCTACTCCAAACATCAAAACCCTCAAATGCTCAGCCATTAAAACAAGCATCTGTTAGACTTACCATCATTCTAACATCACTCCTTTTGCATCTTTAAAAGTCAAGAAGATGGATTAGTAATGAGTGAAACAGAAAGAAATGCTTCACAGGTTAATATTCAGGTTAGTTCCAAAATTCAGGTTAGAACTTGCTACTACTCAGCATGCCAATCAGTGAACATAACAGCAAAAAAAAAAAATTTAAAGTCATCCCTTTTTCACTGTAAATTTCCCTCACCTTAAGTGCTATCAGTCTCTCAACACCATGAGAGTTTCCCCAACCCAAGGAAATATGCAAATAGAGTGGTAAGGATAGATTTTGCTGTGATCATTAAGTATTTCACCCAAATAAATCTTTAAGAATTAACATCAGTTTTCAATACAAGTCCCTCTTCTTCCCTTAAAAGCTGGACATTTTGCAAAGCAAAGAGCATGGACATAGTATCGTGAGATACTAGATTTGTCCTAAAACAGTCAAACAGTGCCTCTGGCTAGCAAGCACAGTGACATGAAACAGGGAGTCTGGAGCTGCAGGCAACATTTTATTGAGAAATCAAACTCTTACTGACTCACAGAGCCACATAAGTTGCCACACTGATCTGCTATCTTAGTGTTGTGGTAGTGGGAACCAGAACCATCTTTATCCATAATTAATCCCTTAATGAGAAGATAAACCTTGAATATCACCTACCATTTAGTGGTTCTTCTACAGCTTTCTGCAAAACATTTAAAAATATATATATGTATAAAAAGCCTTCATGTTTACTTCTGGCTGGCCACAGTTAAATTACTCTAATTGACATATACAGTAAGTAGTGATTCTACAAAAATGAAGAAAGCTTAATGTTAATCAAATTAATGACTAAAGGTCTGAAAAAAAAATTGTATCAGTCAATAGCTGCATTTTCCAAGTAGTTTTCCCTTACTGTGACGTTTACCCAGATGAAATACCCCTAGGTGGCAGCGGAAGCCATGCAGATACTACTTTTAAGCTCTAAAACCTAACTGACAATTTCTGTCATTTGATCAATGGTTAGTAACAAAGCAGCAGGACTAAAAAAGAAAAGAAAATTAGTAGCCAAGCAAATCAAGTGGAATCTCCTCAGAAAGAAATACATGACAGTTGTGCATTTAGTCTGGTAGACAATCATCAGAAACAACACATGCAACCTACAGAAATGCTAAAAAAAAAAAAAAATCAGTACTTGGTTAAGATGGCAGATTTCAAAACCACAACTTTTCGCCCTTCGACTCAGGAAAATCTCAATAATAATTTTTTAATCGTGCCCCAGTGTCAAAATTATGCCCTTCAACAATATTAAGTTTTCCATAATCATTAGATGACACAGAATCAAAGTGTACTCTTAAAATTACCTCACACCTGTTTACTGCCTCAAAGCACAGCAATATAGGCTGAAGAGCCCTTGATGGAAACAAGCAGCATGTTAACACACTCCAGTTTCCACCAGGTCTTTCCCCAGCAGCCCTAAGCTCACAAAAACCAATTATATCACTTGAATTCCTCTGTATCTAGCCCTCACCTATCTGCAGCTGCAAAGAACGTATTTGTACTAGCTGAGGTTTCCAATAACCTCTAAGTTTTAAAAACTTCTTTTGATTTCATTCCTGTCCCCAATTCAGAGAGTAACATGATGTTCATTCCTGTGTTGCTGTGGCTATTTATTTCTCAATTCCTTGCTGCCATGGAAGACCACCTTGTAAGGAGAGCAGCTCATAAAGAGAACAGAGTTCCCATCAAAGGATGCTATTTTGCATGCAGGTTTCTCGTTTAAAGTTTATTTACAACCAAAACTAAGTGAAGGAAAAAAACCCACTCTCTCTTGACCTGTTTACTTCCAATCTACAAGTAAGCACAAGGATATTAGATAAAGGCAAGATTTCATTTTGAATGAAGCACACCTTCAATTCACTTCTCAGCTCATTTTTGTAACATCTCTTAACCTGTTTTCCTTCCATTTTTTTAAACTCTGTGCATTTATATCCCTTCCATAAAGAAAGGCTAATCCTCTGAAATACTATTCCTTACAATGAAAATGGATGAACAAAAGCAAAGGAAATAAAAAAAACAACCTAGCAATCTCTTGTCCTAATTTCAGTCAGCTCTCACTGTTAGAAACCATCTTCCTTCAACAGCTGGGTCTCAGGCTCTAGACTAGAGACCTGAAAATGTGTCTAAAATGATGGCTGGCATCCAGGAGGTGGGATGAGTTAGTATTTGCCAGATTCCCCTGCTGCAAGGAAGTTTTACTGGTATTCTACAGCTGTCCCTCTTTCCTTGCTTCTGGAAAACACCAGAAATCAGGCAGTTCACATTCACTCAAAAGCACTGTGTAAGTCTGTGAAAATTATTTTGGACATTATTATTCTACAATTCAAAACTACCAACTGAAAGCCTTCTTAAAAAAAACAAGGTATTTTTCAATTTGTTCTGTGTTACCTAAAGACAGGCACTTTCTTTCCAGAAGGTCTCATCAAATTATGGGGCATTATAGGAAAATGAGAAAAAAGTTCAAGGTATGCCATCTGTATAGCCAGGAACTGAACAGAATTCCAAAGCGTTTTGGTGTACAAGACCAAAGGAAAAAACCTTTTAAGTCTTTCTTACAGGCCACCCGGATGTTTTACACTCACTTTAATGAAAAAGCTTTTAAATAAGGTGAGAAAAATGGCTTTTAAATATTCAGGTGGAAGAGTGCATTGTAAAAGAATGCCGAACTCCCGCCACCTTTCAGTGACAGCAATGGAAACTCCATTTGGGCACAACAGTCAGAGTAGCCCGTGCCAGGGTGGCAATTACACTACTACAGACACACTCAATAGGGACAATGGAGACCACCAACTCACTCAACATTAGACATCTGTTACACAGCCAGAACTGTTGCTTGCTACCAACCTGGTCTGAATTCGAACTAGTGAAGAAAGGTTCAGTATCTCACTACAATCCCCTGAGCCATCTAGTCACCCCAAATTTATTAATTTTAAGCTTACCCCCGGACGAGGATGATCTTTCATTCTGGAACCTAAAATAATTACAAAAAAGTGACCAAGCAGATGAATAACTGTTACAATCAACCAAATAAAAACATAGAAACACAGAATTGTTAAGGTTGGAGAAGACCTCCCAGAACATCAAGCCCAAGCAACCAGCAAGCCCAACCCAAGCAGCACCACTAACCCACGTCCCAAAGAGGTTAAACATCACTTCCAGTGATCGTGATTTCATCATGTCCTAGGCAGCCTGTTTCAATCCTTGACCACCATTTCAGAGAAAAAAAATTTTCCTAAGATCCAATCTAAACCTTCCCCAGCACAACTTGATGCCATTTCCTCTCATCTTGTCTCTTGTTGCCTTGGAAAAGGTATTGTCTACTGATAAGGCTTGCAACAGAGTTGTAACACACAGAGTTACAGCTTCTCCTGTCCAAAGGTACTTAATTCTATGATCTGGAAATCTTAGAGCCTCTAATCACTCTTCTGTTTAGGAACCAAATAATCTTATCACTTAAAGCATGTGAATTGCCCCACTCATGCACTCAGCTCTAAAGGTGAATTAGGTTACTCACTAATCATTGTGCTTATTTTGGCATCCTAGAGTCTACCCCAACAGTCATTTTTGACTTCTTCAGCCAGCACAACCAAACCAGAAATGCAACATTTATGCAGACCATGAGCACGCAGCATTGAATACTATACAAGCATACAGAAGTAAACCAAAGTCAATAAAATATAAATTTATTGTTGTTATTAAAAGGCTTGATTCACGTCTGCCATATTTTTGACTCATCTTCATTTGTCTTGGATATCAAATATTAGGCATTCTGCCTTAATTTCTTCTCTACTGGAAATTCTCCCTGTCTCAGGGTCTTTTTCTGGCCATGCCCACACATGGTGTCACACATTAACCCAGGAGACTGCATGGCTCAGTGCAGACTTGTGACTGCACTCACTGTAAACACTTCAGCAGCTTGAGTCTGGAAGCGACATATCCTCAGTTGCACAGTTCTGTGTCCACAGAAGGTGGACAGCAATGAGGTTTTTGAAGAGCCTGTGCACACCTTGAAACCAAAGCCACTCCAACCCCAGCTGTAGAGTCCATGCGATGTTATGCTGAGGTGTGCCAGCATTCCAATCACCCAGCATTGCTGGGTTTTACTTATTTAGCACATCTTTAAATCTCTCATCTTTTTGAGATCTGATGAACAGATAAGTTTCTGAAACAATGCCTTGCTATTCTTTTATCCTGGGTTCTAAAATAAAGCAGGAGGAAAACTAGGGTTCACAAAAATGAAAGGTGTGCATTCAAATTGCTCTTCTTTTAACCTACTTCTAACTAGTGCAAATCAGTAGGCAGATTTTTGCTTCTTTAAATCCATGTTTTGATAAGCTTTTGTCACCACCATCCCACAACCCACTCTACAGAATTCTTTACACCCTTTTGCTCTCTTCATTCTAAGATCCAGCTGGCCAACTGTATAAATTGAGAACTTAAACAGCAACATCCCTCCTACAACTGAAACACTCTTACTTAACAAACCTGGCTGTGTTCATCTCGAAACAGTTTATGATGATAAACTGTGGGTTTCTTAACTCAAGATTCCCCACACACTCTATGAAACAAAGCCAACACATACCAGACAACTTTTCAGTAATTTTTAAAACTATGTAACTGTGAAATCACACCTTGTGCTCAGATAAATTATGTCTACTTGAAAGGAAAATAATGCAGAATATTAGGTGCTACTTACCCATAATAAACACGTAAGCCAGACTAAGCAAACTTGCAATAGCCATAATAGCTAAGCCAGCAATCAGAACAGACCCATGTAATGGAGGACAGGCTAGGAAAAACACAATAAAAGAACTGTGTCAGCTGACACAAAAAAAAGCACAAAATCCTATTTTCAGATATAACTGATTAGTTAAATAAATATACCTGATAAAGGCAGGCATGTTTAATTTCACTTTCAAAGCTATCCCAGAACTACTCCTGCATATTTCTTTTTTTGTATACATTCTTTAATGATACAGAGGCATTTACTGATTTGTCCTGCTTAGCTGATACATCTTCAATCCCAACTGCTTTGGCCTGTAATTGCATTACATGACAGAATACAATACTGTTGATATTACAATTATCTGTCAGCTTAACCCAGGACGAGCTGTTTCTTCTGACAGTTCAGGGTCACTGAGCTGAACCCCCAGAGATACAGGAAACACTACAATGTATATTGGAGAAGAACACCCTGAAAAAACCTAGGTACACTTTGCATTTACAAGCATTACAAAACATCCTCCAAAAAACCCTTGTATTAATGCTTTACCAGAAATCTCTCATCAGTTTATTTTACTATTATAACTTACAGAACTTACAAATACTTCTGTAAATACTAAACAATAAGCATAAAATCCAAATCACAACTCCACTGAAATGGCTGTCATTTCACCCAGATTAGACAAATCTTTAGAAACCACTTCAAGGATAAATAGGTCTTAAATCCCCAAACAAATCAATGACTAAAATGAAGAGTATCTGTACAAAACAATAAATCAGGAACATAAAGTGCCTACAAGGAACACAAATATGCATTCTCCTACTAAATATATTGCCAAGGACAACTAGTTCTAAATTGACCCTTTTCTCCGCTGGGGGCTTCTCTGGTGGCACAGGGGAAGGCACGGATGGGACAAAGGGAGGCCAGGGGCAGGGACAAGGGACATCACTGTGTGTGCTGGTTAGCTGCTGTTCCTTCACCACAGTGACAGTTTTTCAGTGATGAAACAGTGTCAGCCACAACCACACTTACAACAGCCCACGAACAAATCCAAGTTTACTGTTTCTACATTTATCTTAATGTGTTTTAATGGTATTCATTGAAATATTAATGGACTCAGTTTAGCAAGGAATTTCTGATTTAATCACTTAACATGCAAAAAGTATTATTATTTAATTTCTAAATATCCTAGGCCTCAGTAAGAATAACAATAATAGTCACTCAAAATCAACACTAACATGCAAAATTAAAACAATTAACTTTTTTTTTTTTTTAAAGCAGATGCTCACAGAATGCAGTCATTGAACTGATGTATGTAATACTTCCTTTAGGCTATTCTTCTTTCACCAGATAAAAGTATTAGCACAGTAGTCCTAAACTGCATTTACAGAAGTACTAGCTAACATTCCATGCAGTGAAGCCATTTTCACAGTTTTAGTGTTAGAACTAAACAAACATCAGGTGTAGACAAAAGGCACACTTTCACAGAAGACTTAACTGCTTACCTGGAACACACAGTGCAAAACCAACCAGACCAATTATAAATCCAAGAAGTTTCAAACCTATCAGAGCCAACGTTGCCTGCAGTAGACTGTCAAAAACTGGGGAAAAAAGAAACAAAATTTAAAAAATTAACTACAGAGATGTAAATACAGATAATTGCATAAAGCTAGACATCAGATTCTCCTAAATTCTAAGCTCAGCCAACCAGCGTGGTAACAAACCTACAAATCACTGCAAGTCGAGGCTCCTGTATGTACACACAAACATACAATTATATATATAAAAATAACATTGTAAACAAACCACAATTAGAAAAAAATGGAATCCACATTCTCAGAGCTAATTATTCAACCCACTCCCAAAACCCAGGAAGGGTGAGCAGAAATCATTCAGATGTGCTACCCTAAATCTCACTCTTTAAACAGGTAACTCCTACTTCTGTGAAGCAACTCAGCCCAACAAACACTAAACATTTTGTCTCAAGATACTATAAATGTGATGAACGCAGGATGCTATTGTATCACCTGTTTATAAAAACTAGATTATTTTGTATATTATGGGAGTAGCTCAGTTTGCTTCAATCCATGTGTTAGTGAGTAAAGAAATACTCACCAATTCCAAACATGATGTACTGAAGCGGTACCAAAATCACAGCAGGGATTACAATTAGGCCAAGACCAGCCTGATTCTGTACAGTATATCCATCTGCAAACATTTATGTGGGAATCAGTAAAACCAAAACTGTTAACTGGATTAACACATAAAGCAACAAACATAAATCATTGCATCACCAAATTTCCCACTGAAGGAACCAGAATTCACTCTCTAGTCCCTAATATTCACCCAAGGCAGTAGGATAGAAAATATAGATAAATTTTGAGTCAGTATCTTCCTATGATCACTTGAGGGCCTGACAACTCCAATGCTGATTCTGCTGTAGTCTGTATATTCTCTTTATTTAAAAATTAGTAGATTGCAATTAACAGGTGGTACTAACTTTCATACTACAGAATTGAAGATATTCTTTTCCGCTCTTATTCCCTTAAACTGAGAGCAATTTTAATCACTTACCTTGCATAAAAAGAGCAGCACCTACACCAGCTACAACTGCAAAGATGACAAGTGCTACAATAATGCACACTTTCCTCTGAGATTCAATTTCATATTTTAATCCTTAAAGAGACAGAGAGGAAACAATCAGACACACAGATTCTCTCACTGAAATGCACAGATTTATGACTCGGACTGTTCCTAAATAAACTCACTCAAACTCCTAAAATTTAAAACTATATCCACTCCCAAGATTTAATTTGTTTCTACTGATTGATATGGTTAATATGGCTTCCTCAGAAAAATGACACCTGGCATCAGGGTTTCAGTCAAATTCTTACTTTCTCCTTTCATGCAATTCAGCTGATATGTTATCAGAGTAACTCTGGGACATGGTACAGGTTAATTCAAATGTTACAGTAAATTTCTTACTCAGGTAAGTGTCAAGACAGGGATTTAGAAATCCCAGGTTTCATTCTCTTCCTTATGACACTCTGTGAGCTCAGACACATCACATCACCTCTGTCCTCAAAGGAACTTAAGTCCTAAAAGCGAATTCTGTAAACTCAAGTCCCAAAAACCCACCTCAAATAAACAATACAACACCTCCCAACACACAAAACCAAAAAACCAAACATTTCGGAATAGTACACAGAAAAATCATGCCCAATTTAACAACCTATTTAAAGCCATAAAGTATCATTGGTGGATTCCCAGATTATCTAAAAGAGTAAAATTTAAAGGAAAAAAATGTACCAACACAAAAAAATCCCAACAAACAATAAGTACACCCATATTTATTAAGTTAGGGATAGGACACCTCATTTCCCCAGAGAGGCCAAGACCTTTCAATAAATTGCCCAGATGCAAAAACATCAAAGCACACTAAAACTACTGTTATAAAATGACAGTGCCTCTCCATGAAATCATTTTCCTAAAATCTCTGGAAGTTCTGCTATGAATGCAGGGCAATGACAAGTCCTGAACAGATCAGAGGTTCCTATACCATTATAAAATATGAAAATCAGGAATATAACAATACAGAGATAAAATAATTTTAGAAGTATGTATTAGTTTTCAACCTTGGACCATGGATGGACCTTTGAAGAGTCACGTAACTTCCAGAGATTCATAAAAAAGTAATAAAGGAAGTTATACATAGATGGCTGAGTATGTATGTGATTATTACAAATCACTCTGAGTGCAATTACTTTCCATTTCTTATAGAATTGACTCTTAGCTAAAATGTTTCTCTTTTTTTACGTTTATTTTTCAGAAGTCTACAAATTGAAAAAGGCTGAAAAATCTCAAAGACTGAGGTAACAAACTGCACCATCTAAAAGACCAGGACATAAAGTACACTCTGCATTGCACAGATGTTGGACAACAATGTATAAAGAACATCTAAGGATGTCTGTCAGTGCTGAATTGATGCATCGCCTCTAAAAAAATTGAACGAATGCACAGATGTCAGAGTCAAATTATAACTAAGCCAGTGCTAAAAGACTAATGAAAAGATTTACATTAAGAAGAGAGCACACCATCCTATCATATTGATTTTATGGACATATAATGAAACACTTTTGAATTATTCAATAATGTCATGGTGAACCAACTGTGAAGAAAAACTTCACACATACCACGCCTCTGTGTATTATCTGGAAAAATTTCCATACATCTTTTAGATCTGAGTACCACCTTTCATTTTACACGGATACCTTTATACATAGAAGTGATTTCAGGACAAATCAGCAACTGCAAAGAATTAAAGAGTAAATACTTACCAATAACACTTAACTGAGCTGCACATAAAATAACAAGTAAGCACACCAATGATATGATGACAGCCCTTTCCACTAGAAGGAACCATGATCCTAGAGAATAAACAAAGAAAAACAGTAGGAAGAGAATAAAAATGGAGGCTGTTTGCTTTGTATTTATCAGTCCTCTTAGACTGTGCCACAGATTGCCCAATATTATATGTAATTCAGCATTAAGAATTATAACAGGTTAAGAAACCTATGTCCTCTACCTTTTTATTTTTCTGTGTGACAACCTACTTTTTCCGTACGTCCAGCCATCCCAGTATTTTCCAAACTGGAACTATTAACTTCCACTGGAGCAGAGAACATGCTGGTGCTAATTTTTGGCACTACAAGCTACTGAACTTGTGGAACTACAAAAATCTCTGTAAATCAGAAAAACAATATTTAGGCTAAGCAGAGAAGATATGAAAGGTCCAATCCGCTGCCTTCTCAGCCATTCCATTTTACTTTCAATGGCAGTAACTCCGGAAGAAATCCAGATGTGTGGTAAGGAATACAGGAGCCAGCCTAAGTGAGAGGGAAACAATTTTAAGTCCTCCCAACATCATCCATCTAGATTTTTTTCCCCTGCATTTTGGATGCCGCAGGCTGTTCAGTCAGTCATGCTTTAAGACCCTGTGAGCCACCTTCCAACATAAAATTCTGAAAATATCTCCACTGAACTAGAAAATGCAGTTAATTCTTGCATCTCTGCTCATACATTCATTTAGGCTCACTCAGTGGAATCCAAAGTCTCAGTTTCTTACATTACACTTTCCACCATTCCTCTGCCTGCACATTTGCTTCCAAAGAAATTTCTAATCTATTAATAATATGCATTTGTTGCGTTTTTCTCCATACACAGAAGTTGTATCTGTTGCCCCAGAAACATGTAATTAGGCAGCAATACCTCACAATTTTAAATGCCAATTAAATACCCTGAGGGCAGCTTCCAAGCTCACAAACTTCCCTCTTTCCCTCCCCTCCTCCCACAAGAGGTCACAGAAGTAGATATAGTGCATACAACAGAAATACAAGGCAAACATTAAGCTAAAGGCAAGCAAATGGAGAAACTGCTTCTAACTCACCAAATCAAGGCTGATTCATTGAATTGTTTAAAGCAAGGCTTTTTGCTTCATTCGCAATATTGAAAAAGCAACTAATATTGAACAGTTACTTGTAGTGCACAGTGGCCACTCCCTAGATAAACTAAATCCCAGTGATGTTGTTTGATGCAACTGAGAATAATTAAAGAAAGTAACTGCAAGCAGACTCTGAGAGCCACTTCACTTCCTCTGCAGCATTTCCAGCTGACACTATCCAGTGTAAAGAGAAAGCAACCAAGAAGCCTGGTATCTGCTGGGGCTTCAGCATGCACACAGAGCCATGTGTGGTCCGGTCCTGGAGTCTGAAAGAACTTCCTGTACAGAAGAGCTTGCAATACTGCAGACACATGCAACATGCAAGGAAGAGGAACTGCTGAAAGCATTTTCTTGGAAATATACTTCCCTTACTCTGGTGCTTCATAGTAATCAACTGAACTCCTGGCATAAAGCAGTGTTTTGAGAGCCAATATAGGGCAGTCAGTTCCAAGCTAAGAAGAGAGACTTCCGGATTGGGGGAAAGAGAAGTGAAGAGTAAAGGGAAAGGAAACAGGAAAAAGGCAAGGAAGAAAAGAAGAAAAAAGGACAATGAAAGAAGATAAGAGAAAAAGCAGCAAGAAAAGAGATGGAGAGAGGAAAAAGATAAGGAAACAGAAAAACTTGACAGTCACTCTCCTGATCAGGAGAGTGTGTCTATTCACAAAGATGAGGGCACTTGCATAGAAATCTTGCTCAGACTCTTACCCACTGCATAGGTGAAACCAGGAATTCTTTAAGAGAGATGGAGGATAGCTGGCTCTTGTATGTGATTCTTGTAACGACTATCTTTGTTAAAGAATCAATTGGAACATGCTAGTAGTGACAGCATGAATTCATTGCTCAGAAATGACCCAGTGAAGACTGGTACAGGATTTCCATTATCCACCAATCCTTTTCAAAACTCACTCACTAAACTTTCTTTGATTAGCTTATTGTCTCAAGAGTTTCTCTAGAACACTGAGGAGCAAGCAACAGAAAGTCATGCAGAAGAACTGAGAAAGAGAGCAAGTGACTGTGTTCTTCTTCACCCTCAAACCTAAGTTTTACATTTTCTAGCATATACTCTCAAACCCACTGCAACCTCAAAACTATGAGTTTTTCACTAACCACATTTTTCCTCTGGTGTTTCGTCGCCGCAACTGACAACTAGAAAATGAAATTAGAAAAATTATATCAGTTTCCTGCTCTGTTGTCTTTATACGGATTTCATAATTATATAAACACAGAAAATAAAACTTGCAAATGGGACTTGATTCTCCACCATTCTCAAGCCTTGCTTCCTCCTCTGGAGAGTAACCCTGAATTGCATGAACAGTCAAAAAAGTCTGAGTAAGCTGTAAGAGAAGGAAGGAAACAAACTGTGTATAGCTCTTCCCTGTTTTTGCAGTGTTCTAAGAAAAGAATGATATTCTAGCATCTTCCCTTTCAGTGGCTGTGCGTTTCTCAATTTCAGGATCACATGTACTATGCAGGGTATATGGTTAACTCAGCAACTAGACCCAACTAAGAATTACATAAATGCCCGCAGCAGGACACAAGAAACATCTGTTTGAGCTTCACAAATATTTTATTGTGACATGCAAAAACTAATAGCAAAACCAAAAAAAATTCTGGAGTCCATGGGTAAGGCTCTGTGTGCTACATATATGCAACAAATTCAGTGCTTCCGTGCAGCTCTCCAGAGGCAAGTCTCCTACGCAAAACGGATAAACAGGGCACACCTATTTCCAGTGAAACTGTCACATCTGCATAGCACTGGAGAGATAACACAGGTACAGCAGAACCCATTATCCAACAGCTGAGGCGCTGGAGAACGTGGGCAGGGACCGAGAGGATAAAGTAAAATAGCTCTCTGGATGAGAAATTCATTTAATGAATCTCATTCATTTTAACATCACTTTAAACACCATCTTTTGAAGATGACATTTAATGCTAGAAAACCACAACAAGCTGCCAACTAGCAGTAGCATTTTCAACCTCGCTAGAAAACTGCCTACTTTCAGACTGAGTTTTAGAGCTCTTAAAACAGAATTTCTATTAGTTCTACCTATAGTTTTCCAGCAGAGTTAAAGGTTGCAAGAAGCAATTCTTCCAAGAAAAGATCTCTGCAGACACTGTGATGGATGTATACATTACAGTATTATGCAGATGATCAGAAATATGTCACGCAATAACAAGAGACTGCTGAATATATCAGCATCTACATAATCAAGAAGATGTGGGAAAGCATAGATTTTCCTATATGGGACCTAAATCATGCTCAGACATTATTACAGAATGAAAAAATGTGTTCAGATCTTTCCCATGGAAGCACTCCCCTCTACCTTAAACCTAAATAAGCCATATTAGCTTACAAGTTAGAAGGCCTGAGTGCTACATGTTTTGTATTTCACTTTAAAGGAACACATTGCCATGTTCATTATTTTTCTCTTTCCCTTAAGATTTTGCTTGCTTTCCTCTCCCAATAGGTTCTGAAACAACAGCAGGAAACTCACCTGAGCTGTTTTTAAGTTCCATTTTTATTTCTCCTTCTCTGTTTGATTCTGTTACTTTACAGCTGTAATTTCCAACAGTTGCTTGTGCACTGTCCAGCACCAGTGAGGCCACACCCGTGATTAAATCCGGTTGGGATAAAAATCTTGCAGACGAAAATGAGGGATCAATATTAAACTTCTTGTTTCCTCCATGGTAAGAAAAAATTGTAACTCCTTGCTTTTTCCAGGTAACAAACATGGCATTTTCATTGTTCTGCTTTAGATTAGTCACGTAACAAGGTAAAACTACAGTTTCATTACAGTCATTTTTTTCTACAATACTTGTCCCAGAAAGTGACAACTGGGCAGAACCTATAAAGAAAAATGAAAATTGACACATTCAGAATTATTTCTTAATACTCAAAAACAAAGAAGAAATAATTACAACAAGTAAATTGGGAAAACAAAACAAACTCTCCCATGAAACCACAAAAAGAGAATCATGCTTTAAAGGATCAACAGATTGGGTTGCCATTCATTTACTTGGACGTTTCTATTTCACAAGGGGAAATACTGTCTGGCTTCTGCAAAGCATACAGATAACATTAACCACAGACTGTCCTACTGACTGGTCAGTTTTTTGCTGCTGATCACACAAGCATCTATAAACTGAGGTCCAGGCATCATCTCCACCCAAGCTTCCTTTACAGCTCATTAAGGACAGGAGGAAGAAAGTCCCACTATTACACTTCTGAGAAAAGGCAGGCAGGGCAGCTTAGTCAAGAAAGCTTTGTCACTTGTTCCCTCTTATCTCTGAAGGTGGAGCCAAATGCCCATAGGTTTAGATAATTTCTTGCAAATTCTCTCTTTTCCTTTCCGGTGGAGAATGTGCACACACAATACCATGTATTAAATAAGATTACTACTTAGTATTTGACTGCATACACAACAGAACGGAAAATGGAGAACTTGTAAAAATCACCAACCTGTACTACAAATCACCATGACTAATGTCTCTAACAATCGCATTCAATGCAGGTAAGGAAAAATAAACACCTCAAAGGACAAGGCATCCACTGCTGGGTTTTCCCATCTCCCTCCCACACGGCACCTCAGCTCTAAAACAGTAGCACTGACTGGCCACTGTTTCAAGAAAGACTTCACCCCTATGCCAAGATTTCATCAGAAATGAAGATTCATTCACTGGTTCTTAAGAATATCAAAAATTGTAACAGCAGTATATAAAGTACATCAGGAACCAGAAAAAAATAGGTTAATTCAACTAGCTTGGCTGTAAGCTATGAATGTTTGAATCTTTTATTTTCTCTATTTGTTTGTTTGAAGTCATAACAAAGTTTAATAGCTGTCTTCTTAGTAATTGCACCTCAAAGTCCCAGAGCCATTAATAATTCAAAATGCTTTACTACATCCACCTGATAAAACCAAATATGGGAAAGGATATGAAATCCCCTAATATTGTAAGCACTGAGACTTACAAACTGGAATAGCTCCAGGGACTTCAGGAGAACTACTTATACTCACATGTGTAAAACCAGCTCAGAATGATGATATGTATTTAATGACTAAACTTCATTAGGGCAAGAGGAGAAAGAAAAAAAGGAAGGGGAGGGGGGGAAAGCTTTGTCACTATTTGCAGTAGCTCTTTAGGGTTTTTTTTTCCCCTCAAATCAAGAGTCTCAGATCACATTTAAAAAAAACACTCCTGTTTTAAGTATCACTTTAATAGTCTAACAATATTTCCTGGATTACTACTGAATATCAAAAGCTTAAAATAAACTGGCTCTGTATATATTATGCATGACAGCACTTGACAATGAAGGAAGAAGCATTCTCTGGTTTACTCAGTGTGTTGCATTTTTTAACTAATAAAAGCAACAAAAGCAGAACAAAGGGAAACCATACACAAACCTCAACCTATGCCCTAATAAAAATCAAACATACACAATTAAAACCTTTAATGGTTCTTTGTGAAATTAATTTCACACCTGTTTCACACTAAATCATGATAACAACTGTTAGAATTTTTCTTCTTCTTCAGAGCCAGCACATTTGGCGGAGGTTGCGTGGCTGCTCTCCCACTAAAGGGAGCCCCACGGCTTCCTGCAGATGGTACTTCCACTACCAACTTCCCAACAATTCTGGTGCCAAGAGGAAGCCAAGAGAACCCTCTCCCACCAGTTACCAAATCCTGCAGGCAATGGATTACTGGGTGGGCTCTTCGCCTCCAACTTTCTCATAGATTATCATCTTAGAGGTGTCACATGAAGGTGGCAATTTTAGAGCCTTACACTACGCAGCGTGGGGGCTTCTGAAGAACTTGCAGTTGCGAAGCTGCCACAGAAAGGTTCTGCACATGCAGAGCAAATTCAGAACTGCCACACACAGTTGGCAAAACTGGCTAAGTGCGGCCACTGCACCTGATGGCAGCCGGCCCTTCTCACCTCCTCACGCTGGAGCACTTATATTTAAGCCAGGCTACTGCTAACACCGGAACCCAGACTGGGATTTCGACATGAGGTCTGAACACGCAAGTTTCGATGCGTTGCTTACTGACAGAACAACACTACAGCACCTGCACCTCGGTGAAATTTTTTTAGCTCTGTCCCCCCACCGAGTTTCTTCTCAAGGCAGAGAAATAAGAACTTAAGATTGTGCAATGTCAACTGCACTTCGATGGCACACAAATCATGAAAGACCAAGAAACGCCGCCAACCCTAGACCCGGTGCAGCGAGGGACCAGCGCGACAGTTCCAGGAAAGCACACGGAAAGCACCGGGAGGAGAGGAGCAAAGCTCTGGGCACGCTCCTTCTCCTCTCCCCCGCAACTTCTGCGGGGAGCAGCCCACCGCCGGCCCCGGGGACAATGTGGGGAGCGCGGGGGCTGGGTAACAGCGTGTGCTGTGTGCGTGTGCGTCCCCGCTCCTTCCCAAAGGATGGCGATCCACCGCTGCGCACCCGCGGTCCCACACGCGCCGACAGCCAGCGGGAACAGCCGGGAGTTCCGGGCAGGAGCGCCGCGAGTCCCCTCACCGAGCGGCGGGAGGACGGGCGGCGGCCGCTCCGCCCCGCCGGCCCCGGGACCGGCCCCCGTCCGCCGCCACCGCCACCCGAGCCTCCCCTTCCCGCGGCTCGGGGGGCGGCTCAGCCCTTCCTTCGCACCCGCCTCGCACCCCGGGGTTCCCGCCGGAGACACCGCCGCGGTACTCGCGCCGGGACGCGCCTGGGGGCGATCGCCACGGCCGCAGCCAGATTAGTCGGGACGAAGAGGGAAGGGGAGAGAAAGGCAGGAGGGCGGGCGCGGCGGGCACTCACCTGCGCGCAGGGCGCCGAGCAGCACGGAGGCGGCCAGCAGCCACATGGCGGAGCGGCGGCGGTGGCGCGGCCCGGCGCAGCGACGGCTCGAGCGGCGCCGCAGCGGGCGGGCGGGCGGCGCGCGGGGGCGGGCGCGCGGGGCTGGCCCGCCTTCACGGCCCGCCTTCACGGCCCGCCCCGCTCCCCCCCACGCCGGTAGTCCGCAGCAACCCGCGGGAGTTGAGCTGCGATAAGGCTTGTTTTGGGTGATGTTTCGTGTCTTCTGAAAGTGATTAGCGGGACGTATATCCCACGCCCGCCTGAGCTCCGGGGCCGCGGTGTTGTGGATCGCGTCTCCCCGCACGCACAGCGTGGCGTTCGGGGCCGCGTAAAATGGCTGCCGGGGGAAGATGCCGGATCCAATAAAAGGGGAAGCGTTGACGGGGCGACTCCTCCACCGCCTTGTTGATTACGAAACATCTTTATTTTTTGAAGGGCAAAAACCCCGTTGGAGTGGGCAGGGCCGCGGCCCGGCGGGGGCGGGAGCGGGCGGAGGGAGCGCTTTCGCTTCCCCCGTGCCTTCCCCTTAGTCAGCTAACCCGGGGCTGAGGGCATCCTCCGGGTCGCTAAAAGCCTGTGGAAGACCAGCTTTCCCAGGGGTACGTTTGCTCCTGGCTGCAGTTATATGCACTAAGTGCAGGTGAAACACAAAGTGTTCAAAAACACTGAAGAACTTGTAAGTGATCAGTTGTTGCACTTAATTTAAAAGCGAGGATAAATGCTCCTTTTTCCTATGTTTGCAGTAATAGATACATTTGACTATTTCAGCAAATGTTTCAACGTGTTTTTGGGGTTTTTTTCCAGGAGCAGCTCCTCTTAGAATTTTTAATGTAGAGTTACCTTAACATTTTGAATCTATGCATATTTTGTTCTCAAACATATGTGTTGGTGAGGCATTAAAAAAAAGGACTGTTAAATATATTGGGGGAACACAGCTTTATGTATGTTTCTAGATATGTTTATATTTACAATGTTGTTACAAGTCCCAGAGTTCAACAGAGGATGAAAGCCAGGGCAGAATCAAAATTCTGTGAGAAACTCAATTTCCATAGGTTTTATGGCTCGCGCAGATTTGCTCCATTTATGGGGTTTTGCAGCATTTATATTGGCTTTATATTGGGTGGGTCTACCCCACAAACATCCCCTGCTTCTTGAGTCTCTAGTCTCTTAAATTCTCCCCCAGCAAATTAATCACTCCCTAAGTGATTAATGGGTACCGATGCCTTGGCTGCCACGTTTGTTTCCTCCAGATATTCATAAAGCACTCAGACATCCTCTGGCATTCAAGTTTAGTAAAAAGCCTTGAGCTGTGGGAGCCATCTGAATCGAGAAATGATGGAGGGGGCTGACACAAAGCTGCTGATCCTGCTCCTGCCAGACTGACTCAGTTGATGTTCTCTGGAGGCCAGAAGAGACAAGCTGGAGCAGGGGATAGCAGGGAAGACATGTCTGCGTCAGCCGTAGCTCATATCTGTATCCGTGCCCTGCGTGCCAGCACGCTGATAGCCACAGGCACTGGTGTCCCCTTTGCGGGGAGCTGCGCAGCGTTTTCTGTAAGAAAACCAGGGATGCTCTCCTGCTGCAAAGAGAGGGCTACAGCTGCAGCACGCACTTGTCCCTGTTGCTAAGGTAACACATATCACACCCACACTGGCCTAGAAGCAAAACAGCGCGCATGGGAAATTTCGGAGAGCCAGAGCCTCGCGTGGGAGAGCGCTGCGCTCTCAGGTGCTGCTGCCTCCTGTACTACTGAGCTGAGTCTCACAAATCCCTCAAAGATAACTCTTTGCATGCAGTTTCCCTGATTGTGTTGGAGGTTGCTGTGCCATCCAGCTAGGTGTGCACCTGAAATACTTTGTCTTGTAATGCTCTGCCTTCTGCTGCTGCGAAATGTCTGCAATGCCTCTGCTTGCTGATAGTTTTGGGCAGCGGGACTGTGCAGAGCAAGGCAGTTCAGATACCCACTGAAACAAAGGTTGGGCAGCTCTGCTTTCTGTTCTGAACCAGGAACACAAAGCAACCCCTGCTGTAATACAAGAGCTGCATGCTTTTAACCACTTTCTAACATCACTCTTGTTTTGCCCAGAAGCACATGGTGTAGAAGCTCACAGAGACACATCTCAGCAGCTGTGAAAAGCACAGTTGCTTTTGCAACGCTGTGTTAAAGTCCAAGTGCTCCAAAAGTGAGAGGTCATATATTTTAAAAACTGTCTGAGTCTCTCATTTATGACTTTCAAGGCACACTTCTGGTCTTTAAATTAGACAACTTATTTTATTACCACTACTAGGCACGGATCTGCCATTTTATACTGTTTTACAGCTCTTTGGAATACCATTGATCACTCTCTGGGGTCAGCAAGCTGTGACAGGCACGAGTCACATACAAAAGCCAATGTACAGGAGGCAGTGGCTGCGGTGGCTGGCAGGAAACTGCTGAAGAGTGACATAAAAGCCTGAGTGCCTAAAGCAAAGGGTGTCAGTAGCTGTGATTTGTCAAACCGACTGTGAGGGCTGTCTCCCTTGGCAAGAAATGCAGTGGCCAGGCCTCCATCTGTGTTCCTGGACTCACTCACCACAGGTACTCTACCCTAACACAGAAACCACCCACACCCAGAGCTCACAAGGCAGCAACGTGATGGGTAATACCTTGTTCTCCCTCAGGCTCCACAAAAGATTCACAGAGCAGCCTTTTATCCCTTTCGCTTCTGATCTGGAAACCTAAGCGTGCCGAGGTTAAATGAACTGACTAAGGTTGCATAATTAGCCAGTGGCAGAGCTGAGAATAGACACCATCTCCATTTTTTCAGGCCTAACATCTAACTCTCAGGCCCTTCTTCGGGGCATAGGCAGGCCAGCAAAACTGTATATCACAGCTGTATAGAATATGACATTTTTAGAACAGGCTCAACCCCTAGCTTACTATGGTTTTGAAAAAAAAAAACAAAACAAAACAAAACCAAACCCAACAAAAACACAGGAAAAAAAATTTTTTTACAAGTGCTCCTGCCTGGATAAGAAGGTAAAAATGGAATTCAAGTGACATTTATAAATATTAATGGACTTCTAAGCACTAGCACATTAAATAAATTCCCAAGGGCCAAACCCTGAATTAACTTTGAGTAATACTTGCTGAAGACTTAGGCAAAAATAAAGCAGTGCTGTGAAGAAATGTTAACTTTCACAGATGTTTGGTAGGGCTAAAATGCCATCATTTGTCCTCCATTTAAAAACAAACTGTTTTAAGGAAACAGTGCTTCTTTCATGCTCCCAACCCTCCCCTTCTTCGCTTACTCTCTTCCTACTCTTGTTCTGTATTTGAATGCATTTTTTGCAATTTCCTTTCTTCAGCTGCTGCTGTAGCTGCTGAGATTCATCAGGCAACTTAGTGACATTAGTGACTTTGTGGGGGGATGTGGGAGACAAGATATCTTGTTCACTCTTGCTCAACAGAAAGCACTCTGGGAAAGGTTGAGCTAAGAGCAAGATAAGGGGGGTGAAACTCCAGCCTGTGAAACTCTCCTGCCATGAGGGCTTTTGAAAGCAGATTTGTGTTCCAGGTCACTGAACTCCCACTGGAGGCTGCAGCTGAGACAGCCAGGTAGACAACCTGGGGGTTACCTGCAGCTGCCCTCCACTTACATAAGACCTGGAGAACTGGATCAGGTTATTGACAAGCCAAGAGGAATTACATGTCATGGTAGGCATTGAAGATGGTGATCTGCTTTCATCTTAGGCATTTTGCTCCTTCCAAGAACATCCTGTAATGGTGAAGCAGTATGTATCATTCCAGGGAAAGGTTCAGCTGAGTTACTTGGTTCTCAAGGGTTCTAGAAACCTCTCATTTCACACCAGATTCACTCAGAGAGAGGGTCAATTCTTCTAAAATATTTAAGGAGAAATGTTCATAGCTTTGAAGCTGTTTAAAGACATGACTTCCCATGCAGTGCAAGTCAGAGTCCCTTTTGATGTCAAAGAGAATTAGGTTCTACCTGTCCTCAAATACCTGGCTCAGTCACCTAAATGCATTTACAAAGCTGGCCTTAGCAGCTTTCATTAGTGGCTGGCAGGTCTCTGAGCATAGAGAACACACTGTCCTCCACACTACGAGTCTTTGTTAGCAGTGCACCCATTATGTTCAATTAGTCGCAGCATGGAGCATATGCTGACCATGCCTTGCACTTTGCCTGTCTGTCCTGCCTGGGGGCACCTACAGCCCAGCCCAGCCCAGCCCAGCCCAGCCACCACCCAGGTTCTGCAGCCTGCAAGTACAGGCCCAGGGCAACACAGTGCCACTGCCTGCATCAACAAAACGAGATCCCTGCATCACAGCCAGCAGAAAGAAAGGCTGTGCCTGCTCCTGCTCTGCACCGCAGCAGCCACAGCCACAGTGATGTCCCCTGTGAAATCGCACCCGTGGACAAGAACAGTTTGTTTTGTGAGGTGTCTGCAGAGACACCCATGCCCACTGACTCTCCAGTGCTGCAGACAGGCTGGCTGGCTGCCTTCAGCCAGGATGGGCTGAAGGTCAGCTGAGGCCTCCCAGACTTCCTTGACATGGCACACTCTCAGTGTGGTCTTGTGCTTTCTCCTCTCCCTCCTCCTCCTCCTTAGCCCCAACCCAGTCTGCTGCTGTCTTTCACAAAATCCGCAGAAATATAATTATCATGGAGATGTCTGCCTCTGGCAGTTTTTTTCCTTTGGAAATAATTATAATTGACTCTGGCGGTTAAAAACTTATCGGTGTAGACAGATGACAGACAGTACAATCACATAAGCTTCCCTCTGAGAAAATCAAGCTAAAACCCATTTATCATCCTGGATGGAAACAAAAGGTCTTCCTTTGAAGAGCCAGGCTGTGAAAACACAAAGAGAAGACTGTTATGCCCATGGATTAAATCTGTGGTAGGTAAACAAGCACAAGCAGTCCATTTGCAGCATGATGATGCTGTGGTAATAATAACATCACTGCTTTCATCTGAGGAATACCTAGACAGGGACATATCAGCCCCCTCAGAGGCAGTAAATGAGGTCCCAAGAGGATAATTAAGCCATAAGGACCTGAAGAGTGACTGCATCACAAACATAGAAAAATGTAAGCATATTCAGATAGTGTCTATAAGGACTACTTGCATGGGGATCCACTGCTGGACATGGATCACTTATTCCTGGAGTAAGTCATTAACTACCCTCTTCCAGAAAACATAAAAGGTTTGATTCCCAGGCATATCTCCAAAGCACAATCTCCTGGAACCACCTTTCCTGTGGCAGCTCACATGCCATCCCCAGGAGAGGTCCATGCCCTCTTCACTAAGCTTAGAGTAGCACAGGCAAGGACTGTGTAACTCGTAGAATCACAGAATGGTTTGGGTGGAAGGGACCTTAACAGTGTAACTCGTAGAATCACAGAATGGTTTGGGTGGAAGGGACCATAACGATCATCTAGTTCCAATTCCTACCACACCCCTGCCACGTGCAGAGACAGCTTCCACTAGACCATGTTGCTCAAAATTCCATCCAACCTGGCCTTCAACACTTCCAGGGATGGCACATCCACAGCTTCTCTCGGCAGCCTGTTCCAGTGTCTCACCACCCTCACAGCTAATAATTTCTTCCTAACATCTAACGTAAATCCCTCTTTCAGTTTAAAGCCATTCCTCCTTGTCCTGTCACTACTTGCCCTTGTCAATAGTCCCTCTCCAGCTCTCTTGCAGGTCCCTTTTAGGTACTGGGAGGCTGCTCTAACAGCTCCCTGGAGCCTTCTTTTCTCTAGGCTGGACAACCCCAACACTCTCAGCCTTTTCTTCCCTCATTCTTACTTCAGCAGCTCTCAGTCTCCAACTGGGCAGGATAATCCAGCCACCTTACACAGTCTTATTTTTTCAGTAGTCATTTTTTGCAAATTATTTTAACATCTGGCATCTCTTTGGCCTGAATGGTTTCTAATGGTATGCAGGTTGGCATTCATTGATTTTATTCTTAATGCATCCAAATTCAGGTTAGGTGCAATTGTGGAGGCAAATGGGAGGGCTTCTTTCAGTGCTAATTTAAAACAGTTAAACAATTAATAAGAATTCCTGAGATGTTTTTAAGCAAATTAAATCTGGGTGAGGAGAATGGTTGTCTTGTGGAAGTTGCTGACTACCCAGTACATATGAACAGATGATAGCGTCAAATTCCATGAGACATGCTTGGATCTAATGGCATTTGCAGACACACAAAGAAAAATATTGTTAGCATGCAACCAGTTGTTGTATGGGAGAGGGATGAGAACGGAATAGAGAGGAGGGAGGATGGGAGAGGCAAAGATAGAGAAATACCAGAAACAGAACTGTACAAAATGTTTTCTCTAGGTTTAGTTCTCAGGATTACAGACAGTCCACCAATAAATTCAATAATTGGCATACCTCACATGCAGCCACATTAATGTCACAACTATGTCACTTGGCCAAGTGTTTGATTTCACAGACAAACTCTTCCACCTTTGGATGAAATTGTGGATGGTTTCTACTTTTTTTTTTTTTAAATAGTCTTCTTGGCTTCCAACAGCTTTGCTTGGTTAAATTTCCCCTTCTAGCTAAAAAAAGAAATTAGACTGGTCTCTTTTGACAGCTGTGAAATGGTTGCATATTGTGTATGTTATCCTGATAAGCTTGCATGAAATGGAATTTGTTTTCTTTTGATGGATATATTCCTTTCAGCACAATGTCCCCACAAGATTAGCAAGTGCTTAATTTTTTTAGAGACTTTTTATGAGCATGTAATGTCATGTATGCTACTTCTATAGAGCGTTATGAATAGCACATGAAGCTGTTTGAACAGCTGAGACTGTCTGAGGAATGTTTCCCCAGTGACTGTGCAACCTGATGTGTAGTGTGATGATGTGTAGTTTGCTAGCCACAAAGCTTCAGTCGATGGCAAGAACTCTGTGAGATCTGGGCCAAATTCAGGTTCTGTAGAATATATGAACTGGCTGTGCTGGGTCTGCCCTAAAAGCAGTTTGTCATGTTCTGTAATGACAGTGCCCAGATGTGGGTGCCTGGGGACAAGGGCAAACATGCAATAATCCTTACTTTCTTGGGTCCTGAACGTCCACTTTATTTTAGCTCAGACTCCCTGAGCTCCTGTTCTCTGCATGTATTAGAGCCCACAATGGAGAGAGAGAGAGGAGATGCAACTTGCACTGAAAACAACAGATACTAAATTGAAAAGCATTGTGGATGAATGTGATTGCTCTGACTTCTTGTATGGTTATGTGCCTGAGCCTCAGCCTACCCTGTGCTTCAGTGCAATGCTATTATTAAGAATAAAATCAATGAATGACAAAGGAGGTGTTCCAAGACAACAGGGAAAAGGCCAAAATGAGTATAAAAGTGTAATAATATTACACATGATCTTTATTATTATAATAGTATGAGATAAAGTGGCTAGCATTCTGCCATTCTTTTCCCCGATATTTAATTTAGCCATGAAGGTCTTTCAAAATTATATTCATGAGAGTCCAGAGAAGAGTGACCAGCAGGGAATCTATTCTGTCTTGAAAGTAAAAGCTTTTGCGAGGTGGAGGTAGGATCTCTGACAAAACCTCTCAAGAATAAATTCAAATGTAAGAAAAATTAATTACTAGAAAAATTAGCAGAGTATTTTAGTTTTAGTTGTTATGTACTGTTTGCCTGCCTACGTGATGAAACTTTTCAGCACTGGTAGGACCCAATAATGGCTAAGGGAGAATCACAGACTGGCATTGCAGGTGGCAGCTAGATCACCAGTGCAAGCTGGTTGTGAAGCTGTTTGTGCATTGCCAACAGAAAATTCCCCAATGCCTTCCTTGCCTCTGTTTCCCATTCTTTGTCTTCTCCAGGGGCTGCTGAGCTGACTGCATAGGGTGGGTGGGCAGAGAGGGCTCATACCAGATTAGGTTTCAGCCTGATCTATGAGCTGTTCAAGCTCATCACACTGCTGTGCATTGGCAACTCATGCAGAGAAGTGATAGAAAGGTGCAGATGAGGAAATAAAATGGGCAGCTGAACACACCCACAGCAGCTTCTCGTTAGCTGAGCTTATCCCAGCAGGAAAGCTGGAGTCCCAAGGCCATGTTTGCTTTTCCCCACTCTAGCTGTCCGTCAGAATGCTCCATCTCTGGACTTCATCCCAACATCTGCCTGAGCGGCTCTGAAGAGCTGGGATTGCCAAGGCTTTCAGAGCCAGTGTAGGCAGATCACAAGGCGCTGCCATCTCCACCCTGGTGATCCCTGTGGGGCCAGGAGTCTTCCCAGGCAGACTGGCCCAGGCCCAGGGCACACAGACATATGGTTGGTCTGTGGCACTGGGGCAGGATGCCAGGGACAGGCAGTGCTCCAGCTGAACCCTAGCTGGAACTCTGCTACTGGTTTGTACAGTATTTTGGCCTCCTCATGTGGACATTTTTCCACCTGAATTTAGTTACCCATGAGTATTTTCAATCAACTTGTCATCACAAGTCTTCAGTTTGGAGTAGGGACAAAGAAGAAACAAGGATGAAATTAATTTTCCGAGTTACAGGAAGCAACTTTAAATTTAGCTTATGGCTCTCCTCAAAGAGCAGGTCTACAACAGATGCTTTTTTCAACTAAGTTTTGTTTAACTATAACTGTCTTTAAACCTGCCTGAAGTGATAATTGTGAGTTCTCCCTTTGACACCAAATTTGAACTTGCAAAGAATAAAAAGGGAAGTGTTCCACTGGAGGTACCACTGGTCAACTGAAAAAAAATCTGTAAAACAGCTTTAGTTTTGTTTGAAATTTCCCTATTACTTGTGAAAATTATACCAAACATGTAACATTAAATAATTAAATCCTGTTTATCTACCAATTAGCAGGAGTTCAATGCAGCTCATCTCCATAGAGAAAGAAAGAAGAAAAAAAAAAAAAGCAAGAGGGAAAACAGTGCCGTGGAAAGGGTTACTTAAATTTTCTCCCCTTCTCCTCAAGGCTGTAACCAAACAATGCTTGTAGCTGTTTGGGGTAGGGCCTTGCTTGTACTACTGCAAGACTTTACATAGCATTTAACTGTTTCATTGTGGCTGCAGCAATAATGCAGTATTTCCCTGCAGAACAGTGGGAACTGCTCCAGCTATTCAGAGACCAGAACTGGAAGAGCTGCTAACAAAGGAGGTTTGTGTGGAAACCAGCACTATTCCTGCACACTCAGCTCACTGGTTTCTGTCTTCCTCCTCCCCCCGCTTCCTCTTCTTCCGTTTAGAATTTCTCTTGCTTGTGTATCTGTTTCTGAAGTGGCTTAGACTCTTGTCCTCACCTAACCTTTTAACTCCCCCATTATTTCTCCTCTCCTTATTTAATTTCTTTTTGTGGCTTTTGGACACCAAAGGTAGCTGTGGTAAACAGGTTTGTTTGTTTGTTTGTTTGTGGTGTTTGTGTATGTGCACAGGCTGGTGGGAATGTCCTGTGACTTGTGTTAACTTACATTAAGGCTGTAGAGAACTTCCATTCCTTAACAGTCTGTCCTCCTCACCCTCAATACTTATTTTTTACCTCCTTGAATGAGCTGTATCTTTTTCTTATTGTGTGCTTTTCTCTCACTTTTCACTCTCATAGCAAATATGCTCATTCCAGTGCTGTCTTCTTCCTTTCTGGCTCTTCTCTGCAAATCAGAAATCCCTCCTGCCCTTCTGCATGACAGAGACATGCTCCTCCAACTACTGATGATTCTTCCCATGTTGCAGCCTTACCATTTCCTTTTTGGGGTTGTTTTTCTGCATGGGCACGTCCAACTGTTTCTTTGTGTTCCCCAGCTTTTGTCTTCCAAGTCTGTAATCCATGGGAATGGTCACTTCTACCATGTCCTTAACTCTGCCTTTCTTCCCTCTGCATGCTGGTAGTGTGGCGGATACCTGTAGAATCTCAGTTCCATTTTCAGCTCTCTCCAAGGCAGAGGCTGTACTGTCTGCAAGTCAGGCTGGCCACTGAAAGCAAGCCCCTTCTTTGCCTGAAACAACTTTTTTGTAGAAGTCCAGAGTCACTTCCTTCTGATAAAGTGATATGTATGTCTGGGAATGTGATTTCTGGGTAAAAGCAAGGTGTGGCTCAGTGATATAACTGCCCTGGCTGGTCACGTGCTTGGAACCATGAGCAGCAGGAAAGCATAGACACTGTTGTTTCCTGCATGTCCTGGTAAGTATAATGCAAAACAGTCACTCAAAATAGCAATTGTCACTTGAAAAATATGACTCATTTTGACACTTTTGAATGTTTAAGCTGTATACCATTTGTAGGGCTCTAATGACTCAGTGTAAAGATTTGCCTGAACAGCTTGTGAAAGGCAGGTCAGTGCTAGAATTAGTCTTGAGTCCACAGCAGCTCTTCTAGGGAGGTAGCCCTCCGTGAAAGGGGCCCCTGAGCACTGTCAGCTGTATTCCAACATAGGGTGAAAAGCACCAAGAAGAGACTTTCAGTACTAACCTGACCAGCCACTGAAAACAGATGCCTTTTTGTCTGGCTTTTGTTTTGAAATGGCCAACAAGAACAGATCACCACTGGCACCATTGTCTGTAATAAATGTGTCTTTACATGCAGTAGAAGACTGTGGTGCGTTGTAAACAATCACAGCACTGAGTAAAGCATAATTGATCACACAAGTGCCACAAAGGATACATTTGCCAAAGCATGGTTTAAAGATTGGGATCTGTATAATAGAGCTGGCACACTTAAGACGCAGTGAAAAGGAGCTGTCAGCATTTTCTGGGATGAAATATAGGATGGATTGTCATAAAAAGACTTAACAACCCTTTACTGTTATTGCATTTTCTGCATCACAGTAAAGCTTTATCTGCTGTTGGTCAGAAGGACCCTCACACTGATAAACTGGTATTTTGTATTCTGCGTCTCTGAAAAATAAATGACATGCTTCATCTCAAATGCAGACTTAGTTACTGTTGAGCACTGAAAGATCTTGCTGTATGCCATGGGTCTTGCTCATTGCTGTATTCTTCAAGCTTTATGTTGGGGTCACTCTGCTAAAATCAGGAACACCAAATTCGGGTGTTTAGAGAGACAGTATGTTGGCACAGCATAAAAATCTGGGTGCTGCAGGAAATATTACAGCTTTCTAGAAGATGCATTGTCTGGCCATATCTTTTTCCACTTCTTTTCTTCCACCACTGAACAGAACAACTTTTTTCTCACAAATGAAAGCTTTGCTCCTCCTAGCCAAACCTTATGCTGGTAAAGGTCAAGTTAAACTGCTTTGAAACTCTGGGTATCAATACAACTCTTTCTGGTGCAGATAAAAAGGAAGTTTTTTTCCAGACGCAGATGGTTTTGAAAAGTGCAACATAAAAATGTCTGTCCACCAGACAGAGATAAATAATCCAGCCTAAATTCTGAGGCTTCAGGCATAAATGTATAATATATAAAAGAGAGAGGTGGTGAAGATCTGAAAAACCACAGGTGAGGTAGGAAAGCCCATCCTTACTCAGAATGTTTAGCATGACCCCCAAAACTAGTCAAGAGATCAATACAAGAAGAATACTTGTATTTGTGAGCAGGTTCTATGTTTTACTTTCTGCTGTTCGTTTGATTCATTCCAGGCACAAAAGTTACCACTTGGCTTCTTCACCACTTCCTCCTCCCCCTGATTAGAGCAATCATTGGGACACTGAGTTTTGGTTAGCTGCTTTTAGCAGGAGGGTAAAGGGACAAGCACCATGGTGTTCACCTTCCCTCTGTATGTAGCTGTACTAGCAAATTCAGTCTGTCCAGCCTTCTGCAGTCTCCTACAGGAGACAAGCACCCTAGAGGCTGCGGTTTCTCTGACAGGAAGGGGGACCAGCTTCCTGCTTCTTATCTCCTGACGCCCACACCGGATAGGTGTCAGCTGTGGCTGCTCACAGGTGGCACTCTATAGAGACACACCAAGTCAGCTCCACCCAGCTTAGCAGATGCTCACATGGACTGACCACATCCGTTATGTTCAGGTCATGTTGTCAAACTTCCAATTATTTGGAGGGAAACATCCAAAACTTCCAGTTATTTGGAGAAGAATACACTGTGCACTTCAGAGATGAGGATTCACTAGTAGCAACAAATGGAATAAAACTAAGTGAAGGCATGTTATGTACGTTTAAGCCAAGATAGTATGGAAGAGCTTTTTAAAGGAAGCTCTTTCATTCTATCCACGTGAATTTGTTACCTGTTTATCAATCCTGTTCACAACTGAGAGAAAACTGAATTGGCTTTCAGTCGTTTATCTTCTCTAACACAGTTACCTGCAATTCCTTTTTTCAATAAGAGTTCTCACAAACACAAACATTAACAGGTATGTCCTTATTCAAACAGAAGTCAACAGACCGGACTACTTATAGAAAAAAACCCTCCAAACCTGCCACGCCTTGCCATACCTAGAGTATAATCGTCTGTCCCAGGAAAAGTCTTCTCAGAACAGTATTTTTTTTTCTTTGTTGTCAATATTATATAGCTGAAGATGATGAAAATCTTCAAGAATGTTTTACTTGAGTTTATAGGCACTCTACAGAAGGCTGTGGTGAAATGGCTGCTGGACAAATTACTACAAAATTAATGAATGACACTTTTAAGATCACAGTTTTCATTGTTTTTACTGTTGTTAGACAGCATTTGATAAACTCAGCAGAAGTCCTTCCTGCCATCATACCAGGAACTTGAGCACCTCCTGTAACAAAGGAAATGATGTTCAACAGATGCTGTCAAACCTTTTGAAACCTTCTGCACCATTTTTGGCACTGGTTTCCAGGAAAATTTCACAAACAACCTGTCCCTTTTGGTCTGACTACTGGCTTATATTCTTTCCCAAATGGATTCTTTGAAGGGAGGCAAAATGCTCATGGACAAGCCATGCTGAAGAAGGATAGGGAGAACTCTCTAAAACCTTACAAGAGCTCCCCAGCCAAGATACTACAAGAAACTTCTGCCCTAAAACTAGAGGAGGGATGGGAAACTTTTTGTCCAGGGGATGCCTACACTTCACAGTTTAATTCTTTGTGTTACTATTGAATAACACTAAGGTATAATTTGAAGTATTGTCATCCTTTGAAAACCAGAGAAACAGAAAATATTTTTCAATTAACAATTGCAATTAGTGCATTATCAAGAGGAATATTATTAGAAATAATTATTGTGTTCTTCTGACCTTAAAACATTCACCTTTGTTGATTTTTACAACAGGATGCAAGTGTGTATCTCAGCTACTTCTGGGATGGAGTACTGAAATACAGCCAATCCTAACTACTAAGACCAGGAATGAAAAAGAGTAAAACTAGGCAGTTAGTGAAAGACTAGCATTATTCAAATCATTACTTACTCTCAACCCTGCTCATTCCAGTGTTGCGTGGGAATAATTGTGAAATGGTAGGGCTGTTACTAGGAGGCTGAAAGACAGACATTTCCAGCAACACCAAGCCCTGGAGCAATAGCTAAGTATTAGCTAATACATGAGAAAGCCCTGGTAATGGCATTTGCTCAATGAAAAAATACATCAAAAGGAGGAAATGGCAGATGAAAATAACCTCTGTTATCTCCAAGCCTTCTGTGGAAAGTCCCTACCTATGAGCAGTATTCATGCAGAAAAGCCAGTGTTCATATCCCTCTGTTTACTTTAACCTCTTGGGCACTGATTAACATTTCATGCCTTTGCCAGGTATCACCCAACCATTTCCTAAAACATGAATCCATCCACAAGCGAAGGGAAAGCAGTGAGGCTGCAGGAAGTAGGCCAGGGTTTTCAGAGGCATGTTGTTCTGCGGCTGGTGCCAGCCCCAGGAGAGGTCAGCGTGCGCACAGGCCTGTGCGCATGCACATGCAGCTGCCTTGTGGGGGTACACTGCAGCATTGACATCCCACACGGGCACGCGGCCAGCGTGGCAGCACAGCATCAACCAGCTCCTTCTTTTTCTAATTAACATTTGTCAAACTTGGAGAGAAGCCCAGGATGCAAAATTTGGATGCAAAATTCAAAGAGCACAGAAGCTGGAAATGTTCACAGACAGGCTCTTCATTTATGCTTAGTTTTTTTTTATAGGTCATGTACAGATGACTTACTTGCTCTTACTGTAACTTACAATTGGCAATACTAATAATTTTTTTGTATGTCACAGTGAACAGTAGAGCTGTACTCCAAAAAAAGTGGCAAAGTTTAAAGTAGGTGGACATAAAGGTTTTTCCCTTTCAAGAAAAAATTTTCCCTGAAGTTCCCCCTTTGGGTGGGTAAAGAGGGAAGGCCTTTAATGCAATCAGCAGACAGGAGTGAGAATATTTTGACCAGATCTGGGAGTTGTTTATAACAGTGGTTTCTCAAACTCATGTGAACTCATCCAGCTTCCTGCACAGCACTCAGCAATGCAAGTTCAAATGATTAACCTGACTCAGTGCTGAAACAATGAATTCTCGGAATATGCTTGAAAGCCACTTTTAAACTCTTGTGATTTCAGTGTTAAGTCACCAACTCTAGAAGGTTCTCTGTGAGAGAAATGGATGAAAAGGTAAAAAAAGCCCTTTGTGCTTTTTATCAGCACAGCAATTCATGCTATCTGCTGACATAAGAAGAGAATGGGGAGTGGGGTATCATATTTATTAAAGTAAAAAGGTAATGCATGTAATCACTCTCAGGTATCCAAATGGTCTATAAACAGCACCTCTAATAGAGTACCTAGCACTAAGACTATTTCTAATTCCCAGCAGGGCACTTACATCCTAGCCTAGACAAAAGACAGGGAAATAAGACATTGGGTCATGTTATGAGGTTCAGAGGTATTTCAGAGCTGAAGAAACTCTAAAAAGAAATATGCTGCAAGAGTTCCTTTCCTGGAACTTTAAGGAGTACATGCAAGAGAGTGAGCTGGCTACTGGTGAGCATTCCTCCACAAAATGTTTCCAAAACCCAAGTGGTCAGCTCATACCAGGGCCACATACAAGACAGAACTATTGCAGTCTTCATGGCAAGGACAAAACCCATGGCTTCTCTAAACAGAGTGAGCAAATGAAGCTCCTTCATTCTCTCTCTGCACGATTTCTGGGTCTGTCTACAGCCAGCTTCTACTCGGCTTCTAGGTAATCTGAAAATGCCTCCATACTGATGTTCCAGAGAACTGAAAATTTGAAGAGACTTTGGAAGAGGACAGCCGTACACAAAAGTTAACTCTTGTGAATAGTCAGTCCTTTCCTAAATCCTCTCCAGTTGAAGAGAGACTCTTTTTATAGAACAGCTTTATGTGCATCCCACTAACTTGGGGACATCTTTGTTTTATTGGCCTTCCGTTCTGACACTGCATTAGATAATGAGCAGTGCAGGATGTAATGTGAACCAAGTGATTTAATTTTAATGTGGCTTCTGCTTCCTGCACTGATTCAGCCATGGACTAATTACTCAGATCTTTGCTTCTCTAGAAGGGCCTTTCAGGCTGCTTGTGACAGGCCTCACTGCTCTCCTCTGCTTTTAAGGAAGACGGTGTGGCCACTTGCCGGATCAGTAAGGCTGCTTTCAAAGCAGGGTAAAGTGCTTTTACTGTCTCAAGGGGCAAATGCCACTCTTTGCCAGATGACAATTAAAGGCCATGTATCACTGATACCAGTGATAGCAACAGAAATGTTCGATTTAAATGACAGCAGTTTCAGACAGTACGTTAAAAACAATGTAGATCAATTCCAGATAATTAGCTCGCTATTTTAGAATTATTTTGGCACAAAAGCTTTTCTTTTGGAGATTTTTGTCACATTAGAGGGTTTTTTTCCATGCTTGTCTTAACAGATTCACTTCTAATAGAATAAGAGGCTCAGTTCATAAGGGAAGGTTTTAGTTAATTATGTTTGCTGTATTAGCACGAAGGAGGAGTTTTTTTGAGGAAAGTGTTTACATAAACATTTCTACAACACAGCACTGCAATCCAAAAGCAGTGAGCTGCTTTGCAGGCAATGCAGAAAGGAGTTGCTTCATCTTAAGTTGAAGTAAAGCCACTGTTAAAGTAAATATGCAGTAGCAACAGCACGTAACAAAGGGAACATGAATAATAACTTTTCTAATTTCAGCTGAATGTGGGAGGATATAGGTAGGCAGCAAAAGGAGCTGGAAACCAATTTCCAGTGTGATTCATAGAGATTTTCAGCAGTGGCTTGCACAGGTAAATTGTAATAGTCGACATTTACAGATATCTTTTTGCTTATTTAAATCCAATAGGTTTAGGGCTTTTTCTTTTTTGCCAAATGAAATACTGAAGCACAACAAATTTATACTGGCTCATAGTACTGACTGTGTCAAGTATCTTGACTTTCAGACTCAGAACTGTTTCACTGATTCTGCAAAATACTGCTCACATTTAAGTGAGAGAAATTGTCAGATGAAATTAATAGCCTGCAGAAGTTCAGCAAGGATTTTAATGCCACTGGAATTGTACTAATATCGTTTATGGCTCATGAACAACCAGAACCAAAAGGATGTACTAGTACATTAATAAGGTTATTTCTTTGCTCCATACTCCTTCATTACCACTAACATCTAGAATCACTCTCTACCTACACATTTACTAAGACAAAGCAAGCTCCCTGTTGCCATTACATTCCCAACCCCTTCCTCCTACATTTTTCGTCTTGTTCTGTATTACTCAACTAGATTTGGCAACATTTTTCCTTCACAGAAATCAAAGGTGGGTGTTCTGACACAGGAACAGAAAACAAGAATAATCCAAATCTGGTCCACAGAGCTCTTCTAAATACTATAAATGAAAGCAGCACTTGACCCAATACTAATATAAAGTGATTCTGAAAAAGTGATGGCACATGGAAAAAATTAAGAAAGCCAGGAGTAATTTCCAAACAATACTATTCACCTTCTTTGGTCTTATATAGATTTTGATATTGATGCTGATGTTAGACGAGCCTTGCAGCTGATATCAGTTTTGACCTAGCCTGTTAGAAAGGGTAATGCTGTATTATTTCAATAGCATTAATTAAATACTTTCTCTAAATGTATGTAAGTGGCAATGACAGACATTTTATCTTCAAGTCCTTTGCAAGCAATTTCCTTTCAGCACTGCAGAGTATCAAGACTAAAGGCTGTCAGCATCATTCTACAGACATTCACACTACGTAACATTCTCCAAAGAAATAGAGACATCTTCACTAACAAGAATGTATTAATTTATTTGGAAGAGATATGCAGTAAATCTTTACAACACAAAACTAAACATGGCTCCCTCTTGAGTCTAAAGTGTGCACATTACTTCTTAAAAAAGTTCATCTTTTAACAAGCATCTTGCTCAAAAGGAACAGGAAAAAAGAACATCCTTCTACCGCAACATAAACAAAACCTCTGAACTCACAAAAAAGCAAATGGTAGAAAACTGCATTTTGGGCAAATCAAGTCAGGTCCAAACAATTTTAATAGGCAGCTACTGTGGTTTCTGGAATCACTGTTGCATGCATATCTCTAGTCATATTGGATTTCTCTTTCAGCTTTGACTGGAGCAATGTGTGTTCCATCACACCAATCTGTATGTCCATCTGAATGGTTTCTTGCCTCAGTTTGGTTAAGGCCTGTTTAATCTTCACTAGAGGAGCTGTCCAAAAAAAGATAAACAGTACAACTCTGTCAGCCACGTAACACAAAAGCATTGTTTGCTGTAATTTACTCCTTAAAATGGAAGAGTTGAATGAACAACTCTTTGTTGTTGTACTCTAAAGACATGATTGTACTGATACATCATTTTTAATATGCAGAACACTTTAAAGACAGAAATAGGCAATGACAATTTTGCTGTCTTCTTGACATCTAAGAGCTTCATAAAAATGTGCATCAACATTAAGACAGGTTTTTCAGTGATGTGTTTTGCTCAGCTGAAAGCCTTATCCCCACAGCTGACTTGAGGTTTGGTAGAGAACTGAAGACATCTTCATCAGGGTTTGAAAATCTTACCTGTGAAAAGCTATTAAAATGTTTTGTGCCTTATATTTTGTTTCTAACCCCTCTCTTGCCATGAGTATGATGCTGCTGCATCATCTTGCTCCTTGTAATTGCTCTTATTCTTATTTTAATGAAGTACATATCACAAAATTGTCACCAAGGGTGTGTTGTCTGAAGCAAAAATGTACTTACCACCATCAGTCATACTGCTTCCTTTCTCTTCTGTTTCCTGCTTTACTTTCTCTAATGCTTCTGTAATCTTAAGAGATTTTTTCCTTAATTAAACCAGATTAATATCGAATTTTAAAAAAGTCTCTGCTGAATAACTGCTTTTATTAAAAAAAAATTAACTAATCCATTTTACTTGTTATATAAAGAGGAATGATTTTTCAAACATTCAGAAATTTTTAATTTAACTAAATTAATGTTGTAAAAAATTACAGAAAAAGGGTAACAATTTGACCAAACACCATGGTGTTACTGAAAATCTGTGCATCCCCAATAAAAAACAACAATATAAGTATTTCAGTGTGACGCTGGATGGAAGAACAAAGGAACCAGTATCTCTACAGATCAAGATTCATCAAATGACCATGCCCACTGTCCTTCTGGAAGCATCAGGTTTGTGGCATGTTACACTGGAAACCTAAGAAACAGCACTGCAGCATAAGAAGGTGCAGCAGTCCAGCTTGCTGGCACTGGCACAGGTATGTAAAATCCATGTTTGAAGAACAAAATGCATTTCAGCACTGTCCAGGAACTAGTTTGCCTTTGCAGACAATGAAAAAAGCAAATATGTGATTCTAAAGTATAGCCAAGATAATAATTCAGTATTCTTGCTGATAATGTGAAAATATTCCTTCATTAAGGCTTTAATAAGCCTTTTCAGCAACAAAAAGGAATCACTGCTGCATTGTTACTGCATGCATGCAGTGGTAATGGTATTGCCAGGTGGGCTGAGGTCTTGATTGCACACCTGAAGACAGATCAGTACTAATAGCTAACGTGTCTGGTTTACCTCAGACATGCACCACTGCACCAATGTAGTTTTGAAGGATGCCAGCTAGTAACATATTCACCATTACTTATCAGTCAATCAGCTCCCAAAGTGCACACTGTAAATCTGAAGTCATCACAAAATACTTTTTCAAACTTACTTCCTTGAAAGTGAAATAGAAAGCAGCTCTAATTCTGCAGAATTCATGCACTCAGAAATCTTTGCTAGAAAACTCACATTAAACTGCTGTATTACCCATTGCAGCTGCACTTAGTATCACTGTAGGTCCCTTCCAACTCAACTGTTCTGTCTGTTCTAAAACATCTCAAACTTGTTGTACAATTTCTAACATTCTTGCTGCATGATCTACTTTATGCAACTGTTCTTGAGACTTCATTGTCTAATAAGTAAAGCTGGTTTCAAAAACCCAAACAGAGCCATTTAAAAAATTTGTGAATTGGATAAAGAGTTGAAGTATTTGGATATCGGGCGGTAATTCTAAACAAAATGCCATGCAACACTGAACATGGTGAGGCAGTTAGGAAACAGATGTTTATTTAAATTTGTCAGAGCGCCAATGTAAAGAGTAAAAGAAAATCCACAAAAAAAAAACAAAACAAAACAAAACAAAAAAACACAACAGATTTAGGTAATAAGATAATTTGATGTATGGAAAAAATTACTATTTAGTCAAATATTGCTTTTAAGTGCCTGGAAGATAAAAATTTCAAACTGTTAATTTTAACTAAAAATAAGAGTTAAGCTTTTCTTCTTCCAAAGAATTTATGGGCATGATTTATCAATCCCCCATAATTCTAGGACACAGGTTATAAAATACAGAACATATACCTTTCATTTACAAACTAAGCTCACATTTCAGGAGTTAAAAATCAATGCCAGACTGGATTTAAAACTTAGGGACTGGACTAGATCACCTCCCCCAAACAAAGAATAATCTTTAACATGAGAACAAATCACAGAGAACTGGTTTCATTAAACTGCAACCACTAAATGCCAACTTTCTGAAGACTGTTTTAAAGTAAGATGTGTTTTACCTCAGAAAGCACTCTAATCCTTTCAGTTACTCCTCCACTTCCCTCCTGGTACTTCTCTTTAGCCTGGAAAAAATCATGTCTTGGCTGTAATGACAGAGCTGAAGAGCTGCAGATAGTTCAGAGAAAACTTCAATACTTGCTCTCATATGTTTCAATTCCAGAAACTCTCCCACAAAGCCCCAGTGAGGTTTACAAATGAGGACAGGCTTGAAACATCAGCCCTTGCAATGACTATCATTCAAAAATGTGAAGCAGTAAATAGTCCAAATACACGCTTGATAAGAACTATACTTTCTAATCATTTACATAAGGAAATAAACATGAAGAAAATCTGCCATAATGCAGAAAGGATGGAATACTGAAATCCAGAATAATACTTCATCAACAGTAAATTACTACCTCGAAGATACCTTAACAACAAGGCAAACAGAAGGTGCAGAGGTCAAATTGTGTTAGCATTACTGTCAGCATGGCCACAGCCAGGAGGGCTTACCAAAAGGCAGACTATAACGCTTCCTAAATAGGGGATCAAAAAGCTTCTCAGACAGCACTCCATTAACATAAAAACTAAATGAAGCAAAGAAGTAATCAGAGTGCTTTGTGTGTGTTAGCACCAGTACTCAAATCTAAGGGATGAATGTTGGACTGAGACCGTAGTTATTCCACTCCTGGCAGATGTGTGAACTTCACAGGGAAAGCACAACTAGCAATTTACTAGCTGCTTAAGACTGGCAACAACTATACATAATATTCAGGCAAAACCATGTATTTTCTCCTGCAGAACAGCTGAATAAAAATTGCTGGTTTAGCTTAGGAAGAATATAATTTGACAGCCAATCAGCATTTCCCCTGCTTTATATCCAACAGCAGAATTCATAGATAGCTCACTCCATGTCATCTTTGCCTCCACCCTCACTTAACAGCAAGTTAATACTGGGGAAGGCAGCAACAAAAGATCAGCAATACCTCACTCAGCAAGGCTTGTGCTGAACGGTATTCTTGAACCAAGTGCTCCAACTGATTGTTGATGTACTTTTCCCTGCTATTGATCTTTTCCAGTGTTCTGCTGATTTCAGTATGGAGTTTGTCAAGGTAACCCTAGAAAATCACATTCTGTGAGTTGACAGTGTACAGACAGTATGCAAAGAGTATCAAAATGATGCTGTAGTTAAGAAAGGCTATGGAAGACTACAGAGAGAAAAATAATACAGAAATACTGTGTTTAGCCAAGAAAAACTATTCCAAATGTGTTCTGGTTTGCCCACCTCCAAAACACGTATTTCAGCCTTTGCTGCTTCATCACTCTCCCCTCTTCAATTAATTACAAGTGTCAATGACAGTAAGTTACTCTAGCAACAGTACTTGAGAGTATTTGGGGGATTTTAACAGCACCTTCAGATTCTATTATTCTATTTTGTCCTCTGTAGTCAGGATGCACTTATGGTAATGCATTCACTACTGGACCCTGATAGCCCTGTTAATCCTCACACATACAACTCCTTCCCAGAAGGTATTTTGTCACCAGCACTGTCCTTAATGATCATTGTCATATCATTCCCTTTTTAATTTTACAGGAATAGCACAAATAAAATGAAGGAAAAAAAAAAGATCAATTTAGTTCTAAATGCATATCAAATAGAAAATAAAAATGCTGACAGATTAGTAAAATATTCTGTACATAGAAGACATACCCTAGTTTCTTTCAGAGAAGAATCAATTTCATCCTTATGCTGATGTATTTGATCTACATGAATCCTCCAATCCTAAAAAAGGCATCACAAATTAAAACACAGGTAAATACAATTTCTATCCTTCTCTGGTTACAAAACAATGGCATGTATGCAAAGCAGGGTCAGTTCTCTTTTATACTATTGCCATGTATCATCCTGACACTGCCATGTTTATAGCCAGAGGCACTGGCTCAATGTGACACAATTTATAAATCTCCTAAATGTCACATGTGACACTCAGATCCATAAACAAACACTCACATCCTCACTGACACCATAGTAGCTATGCTTTTTAGAGTCTGATCTTCATGGAGCTATTTCTGCTAGAAACCACTGTGGGCACAAATACTAAAAATATTGATTTTAGCTGCACTAGTTCAGCTTATTCTTAGACAAAATGACTGCTTTTGATGCCCAACACCTACCAAATCTGGACTATCTGTTCTTTCCTTTCTATTTCAGTCATTACTGTTACCAGGAAAAGAATGGAAAGAAGAGGCAGAAATACCAAAACTTAGTTTTGGTAACAGGATACAATTAGAAGGAGCAAAATTATTTTCAGCTTCAAGATTATAGGAGCATACATGAACTCCAGGGTGGGGGCTGAGAAAAGGTGCTGTGAATTGGCCCTGCACACCAGGTAATGAGTCACTAGAGAAAATGTGCTTACATTGTGTTTCATGTGTGCAGGGGACTCATGATCTCTTGTTGGTCTGGTGATAATTGCTCACAATTTGCCAAACTTTGGAGTTTAAATTAAAAAAACAGGTACACAACCCACCTCCACTTCTGTCCAGGACTTTATAAGAAGTTCTAGTTTCTAGTGCCATTGATTAAACCATTAATACTCTCCTGGTACTAGGTTTACATGCACAGCTTAGGAAACAGAATATGTTTTCTGGCACAATGGAAAAAGGCCAAACATTTTTCTCCAGTTATTTCTGAAAGAAGCTAGAAGAAAAATAATCCTCTTTTTATGTTCATTTAGACGTACTCCTTCATGCAAAGAGATGGTGCATTAAGTGGGAAGCTAGTAAACCTCAGATCCGACAGTGGCTTTAATTTTTCATCTATGTCTTTATTAAGTTTTAATTCCTCACTGTGAGACTCAAGCATCATATTCTCTGCAACAGATGGGCTTGCTGAGGATCACAGTAGAGTGGTTCAAGCCAGGCAATTCTTCACACAGAAAAATACAGTATGGTGTAAGACAGGCAAGCAGCTCAGCAGACAGTTGAAGGTTTTGCCTATTTTTGTCAAGGTAGTTATCTTTCATTGTATTCATGTATATGTATTGTATTGCTGTATGAATGCTGCAGATTGCTCCAACACTCCAACTACCTGGGTCACTGCAAATGGTCAATTTCAATACTGCACTGACCTGTGTGTGCTACATAAGATCCTGGAAACAATGCTTATGGCAATGCCAGGAGTAGGCCCTAGGTTTGGACCTGCCAAAGATGGATACCTACTTCTAAGCTGCTCATTCTAGACTCATTGAAATAGACTATGGAGAGAAATACACAGTTCTATGTAGCAGGCCCAGGGCCTGCAAGGCCTCCTTGGCGGTCAGAAGCCTGAGCTAGGAAATGCCAAGTCATGATGACCGGGCCTTAGAAGCCCCTCTCGTCTGCCTTTGGACCCTGCTTATCTCTCTGTAAGCCTGTAGGTCACTTTCCCCTGACCCTTACGACTGGACAATTTCCAAAACCCCTGTAGGGTATAAAAACCCCTAATTCTGCCTGGTTCAGGAGAAGAGCTGTCACTGAGACCCTTTGTGGAAGACCCTAATAAAGAATCCTGCGGAACCGTCAAACAGCCTTCTCCTCTCTCTCCCCGCGTCTGCTGCCAGGCACTAGCAAGCCAAAAGAGCTGAAATCACAGAGCTGATAATCACTAAGAGCTGAAATCGCTTAGGCTTGCTTGGCTGCCTGCAGCTGGGAATGGCTTGGGATATCAGACCTGGTCTGAGCCTCCACTGAGCTATCCTGGCCACGGCTCCCCACCAGGCACAGCCCGGCTGGAACCTGCAGTGATAGTTCTAAGACATGATGAATTTCACCCTGAGACAGTTACCAGGATATGGTGAGCAAAAGCAGTTGAAAAAAATGATCACTTCTTTTCACTAAACATTAGGAGAGTTCAGGATGACTAGACCAGGATAAAGACCTACTTGATTGTCATGTAAAGTTCACCAAGAGAAATTCCATACAATCAGCCTTTCATGTGGTTAAAAAATGGAAGAGTTGAAAGGTAAGATCATCAGCTGTCCTCCAATGAGAAGTTTTAATAGTTGTTAAACTGAGGATATAATTTTTAGAAGTGTGAACACATTGGAAGTGTCAGAGGACTGAAAAAAATCCCCACTGAATAAATATATAGAAATAAGGTGCCTTGTAAGCAGCAGAAAAAACTATGTAATATTGAAAAAACACCTTACTGAAAATTATTGCTTCTGGGGTCAAAGCAAGTGACAAAGGTTCAGACAAGATAGCACTGGAGAGCCCACTGCTCACAGGTCTTTGCATGACAGAAGACAACAACTGCAAATGGAAAGTAAACGGCATCGACTGAAATCACATTTTAATCACTCTATGAACACAAGCAAATCCATTCTTCCTTACCTTATTGTCAGTTCTGACTGTGACTTTCAACTGTGGAAGCACACGTTCCACTTCCAGATTCCACTCTGCTGCATCTGTTGTGGACTGTAAAATCTCTTCTTGCTTTGCAGTGTCATTCATGTTCTGTGTAAAAATCCCAAAGTTTATACATAAAATATTATTGTTATGCAATGAAATCACTATAATGGCTTGCAGTGTTAATATTTATATCCAGAATGATCTAGACTACAGATTAAACAGATTTCTTTAATGGCTTTCTTTGAGTTCATAAAGATTTGGAATTAAAGTGTATCTTCTCATCATACTTAAAACTGAAAACAATTAAATTTATATATTAAGAAATTATAATACATCTCAGAAATTGTGTATGTATGTGGGATTAAATATATTCATGAAACTAATACCATGTTTCTCTAGAAGTCTCTGCAAAAACTTTCTTGCAAATGTTCCCAGCAGCCCTTCAGTGATATCGGTTTAGAAAGTGGCTGCACACTGTTCTTTCAAAATAATATGAATATACAATATCTGATTCATTTCAGATGTTAGTTTTTTTTTTTCAAGTAAAGACTATACAAGCATTTTAAGATTTAAATCCAACAGACACAAATTGCTGCTACAGATGTAAAAATCTCTCATGAGAGGACTAATGGGTAACAACTTACTGATCTGTACGTTTGTGCCTTTAAAACATTCAGGTCAATATAATTTTCTTCATTGTCTGACTCTTCTTCCTTAAGAGAAGTTTCAAAGCAAGATTTCAGTAATTATTGCACAATCTTTCTCCATAATTTTATTTTGCAGGAGAACAAACCAAGAAGTATTAAGGTTCACATTTCTGAACAAAACAAGACATAGAGAATTTATGATATGGACCTTATGAAGAGACATAGTACCTGGGACAAGCTGGTAGATCAAAGCTACCCCATATTTCCTTCAGAGCTCCACAGTATTACAGAAATAAACCACCTAATCAACAAAACCCAAACCCTAAACCTAAAGCCTCTGACATCAAATGGCCCATTATCAAGAGTTGCATGGTAATTGTATTTTTTATGTATTTCTTGAAGCTCTACCTTAAAAATAAAGCTCCATCAAAACAAAAGCCAAACCACAACCAGACCTCAACACAGTTTTCAAGATATTGTTTGCAATACGCATTTGAAGTTACAGAATGATGCCACATCTTAAGTGTGCAGAATAACACAACTGAAATTGAGGCAATTGCTTTTTTCTTGCCCATGAGACCACACACTCTGTTCACGTACTCTGTAAATCTGTTATAGTCTCAAAATCCCCTTCTTCTGTGACTATGATCACCTGAGAGCTCATCACCCATATGTAAAAATGCTTTCTCTGTGCATTAATCTTCATTTATGTACTGTATTTCATCTGCCATTTTATCACCCAGACACTTCACCCTTATACACCTTGTCCCCCTCTTGACTATCTTTTCCACCAAAGTGAAATTTCATCATCCACCTCCTTTCCACACAAATCACAAAAGCTGCAATAACACAGGTCTTAGGGTAAAATCCTTCAAGACTCACTGAAAACCTTGGAGCTTATTTCTCTTTCCTCTACTTTACCCAGTTTTTAACTAACAGGGACCACTATTTTCTTCTGGTATGTCTGACCCCGCATCCCCTGAATACTTGCAAGAAATTAAGACTATATTAAGACTATCTTTTGCTAATGGACAATACATATTTGTGCAGCTTTTGGAAGAACACACCACCAGAACAATAAGACTGGTGATCAGAAGTGAGAAACCAAATTGTGCAGATGTCCTCGCACACCCAGCCTCACTGCCTACTGCTGGCCACCTAATACAGGCTATCCCTGCTAGGCTTGTCTCTGTCAGCCTCATCATTTTTATTCAGAAGACTCAAAACCAAAGAACAATCAGCAAAGCTCATTAACACTTAATTGCTGAAAATACTGCTAAATTCAATTATGGATACAGATAATATCAATATACTGGCAGCAACAACGGACCGGGAAAAAAATTACATTGGCATGTAATTAATCCCTGTAGAACTACCAGGGGCTCTAAAAAGTGAGCATCCTTTTGGTATGAACTGCCTGGTAATGTAATACCTAGTAAAGGAATAACACCTCAGTGGTTTTATTAACACACATACATTCCAAAGAGCTAAAAGAACACATTAATTATGAAAATCATGGCCTAGGACAATACCTGAGAACAAACACAGAGGTTCTTTGAAGGATTTCAACTGTGCTTTAGTTAACTGTTTCATCCCCACTTCCCAATTTAAGCAGCTTAGACCTTCACAAGATAGAGAAAAGAGCAGACAGCTGACTGTTTTCCTATTTTAACCCTTTAGTTTAACATCGAGAGTAGATTTATCAGTAGAAAAGAAACAATTCTGAATCTCTGTGTTTTTAATGCATGGTTAGATTCCACTGCACATAAGAACATACACTCTGTCTTGAAGAGTTGATCTTATCTGAAAAGCAACAAAAAACCCTAAAGAGAATCTGACAATGCAGGAATAGAGCTGCAGGAAAAAAACTTAAACAGCTAATTGAAAAGGTTTCTTAAACAAAGCCAAACAAAATGAACAGTGAATAAATATTTCCTCATAGTTGACCAATATTAATATACCAAATAAACCTACTGCAACATCCTCTTCCAATTTACTAAGTGTTAATTCTGCATCATCTTCTGTTATTTCTTCTTCTTCCGGCTCTTCTGTTGGGTATGCTGGCCTGAAATTAATTCAAAGAACAGCAGAGCTTTTAAACGTAATAAATTGTAAATACCTCTGCAAACAAAACATTTCATGAGAAAAATGGATGACATGGAACATACCTAGACAGTGATTCATTTTCACAACTGAAATAAATATATACTCTGCCTTGAAAGTCTTGTTCATCTTGGACTGTCTTAAAAGTAAAGGCAGTACAGTACATTCACACTACAAAGTCATCTAGGAAGTAAATTTTGGGGTTTTTCTCTATTGGTCTAAGCTCTTAAAATTCAAGTGCAACTCACCACAGGCTTATTTGCAACCTACAGTGGAATTTGTGTACCAAAGAGAAGTAACAGTAAAATAATTCCAAGGCAGAAATTACTTTGCTGTATCCATTTCAAAACCCATTGGAGGAAAATAATAAAATAAAGAACACTTTTAAAGACATTTTCATATATTTGAGATTATCTGTCATCTAATTTGTCCTAAGATTTCCTTCAGATTAAATAAAATTACTCTAGTCTACTTGTAACATGATCATACTGTGCACAACCCAAGAAATTTACTACTGATTGACAGAACCTAAAAGGACATTACATGTTTCAACTTAAATATCAGATTAACAAGGAGTTATGTGTAGGGAAATAACAACAATAACAAAAAAGTCATCAGTTAAATCTCAATTAGCTAAGTCTATAATGGTCCAAACTCAGCCTTGCTGACAACAGGCCAGTTGTGTGAAATTGCATTAGGAATTAATTGGTCACCCTGCTTCAAGCCTAGTTGAATTTTCCATCTCATGAAATGTCAAGTAAAACGTTTTTAGTCATTCCTATGTTTTATCTTACCACTACAACTTACATCTGTTTGCTGGAAAACAATGCATAAGGGAGGATGCTTAGAAGTGTACTGTACCTTTTCCAGCTAAACCCAGTGCGTTTCAAGGCTTCTTCAGCTAAACAATCAAGAACATAGCACACTTGCTCACCGCAGCCTGTCTTTAATTTTGAGGGAGGAAAATCCACAGGCCTTCCCTAAAATAAAGAGACAGGCTAGAGTTTACTAATGGCCTAACAACCTGAATTTCCTCAAAGGGAGGTAAGTTTTGTACACTAAAACCAAAGTGTCCCTTGAATATGAGATTTTATTAATGACAATTTACATTCTTCTCCTATGCAGCTCCAGTGAGGCAACAGAAGGAAAAGCAAACAAAGCCAAGGAACAGAGGCAGTGTAGAAGTCTTTAAGCATATGGTAAGAGCATACTCCCAGGTAGCAGAAGAGGCAGAAGCCACAAGGGATCTGGATGGTCAAGCACACAAGTGACAAGGCAAAGTAAGAACAGCTACAGAGAACTCAAGTATTGAGACTTAACTACCAACTTTGCAACAGTGTCCTGTTTTCTCTAGATTTTACTTATAAAATATGTTAATTTATTGCTGTCATGCAGAATAAACATAGTGGTTTGATATAGTTTAACTCCTTCAGAGAACAGTGTCCTTAACATCATTCACAACTGCATCAGAGTATAATCTTCCATAAGATCATACTTCTTGTCAGGTGATATAGTCTCCTGACCTTTGGAGTTTGGCTTTTTATCTTACTTTTTTTTTTTTTTAATTAAAAAAAAAAATCTCAGTAGTTCCTGGCAGTTTGTACAACTTTTTACTCCTTAAAAGAAAAAGAAAAAGAAGAAAACACAAACACTATTCTAAACCACTTCCTACACTACAAATTAAGTCATTGACTTTGGCCGGAGCAGGATCACAGACTGTGTAACCTTCCAGATGAAATCTCTGAAAATCATGCTATTATAAATGAGCAACATATGTGGCACTACAAAAGGTAACCCTAGTTTAATCCATTTTACAGACTGCAGAACAAAACTAACCGGAATCGTTTATAAGACCATTTTTGTAGTGCTAAAAAAATAGCAAGTAGGTACAGCCTATGTAAACTTCCAATTAACTAAGTAACACAGTACAAACTTACAGCTAGGAAAAGTCTGTCCAGCCCTTGGGACCAGACCCAGCAGGAGAACAGCGTGTGACTGCTGTTTTTTCTGAAGGGAATGCAGGCGTTTGCAACAGGCTTGGGGAGAGAGCGCGCGCGACACTCACAAAGGCGCGCAGCTCTGAGAGCACGTTTGAAATCACTGCGTTGGGGTCATCGCACTCCTGCGGCTGCTCGAAGGGATGGCCCGCTTTGCTGATCAGCCAGGCAGCCAGCGTGCAGAACATGAAGAACTGCTCTCCGGGGTTGGTGGGCAGCGCAAAGTAGTGCCTGTTTGAAAAGGGGGCAAATGGTACACACTGTGAGTTTCTGGAGCTCTTACAATGTTACCGGTGAGCACAGGCTACAGAGCAGTTTCTTTACCCAGTTTTCTCAATGAGCAAGCCATCTGAACAAAAATCAGGACGCCTAGTTTCATACATAACCACAGCAGACTAAGTTTTCTACATCCAGCTTGCTTATTTCCAGCTTTGAGTAAGTTACTAGTCAACGCCAGACTTGGCTGCCAAGTTCCCCAAATCACCCGTCCTTCACACTTTCCTCAAGAAACGCAGGAGGATGGTATTCCTACATCTGCAAATTCAGCTCTGATCAGGAGCATGTTTTGAACTGATCCTTCCACCTGTCCTTACCTACTGTGCTTTGGGTTGCTTTGGAGAGCAATGAAAAGTGGATCTGACTTGGATCACACCAAATTCAAATATGTGATCCTAACAGGAATTCAGTCCATAGAACCAGACCACGCCCTGAAGTATAAATTACACGCACACTGGATACTGGGAACTTCTGGAAATGCTTCCCTTTACCAACACAGCTACTCACTAAGATACACAATGGTCTGCTGTCCTGCTCCAAACATTCCAGTGGTTCAACAGCAGGCTAGAACTAATTTACAGCCACTGTGCTCATACTTGAGCCTTCTTCCCAAAAAGGGGGTAACTTGGACCCCCTTACCAAACTGTTGCTTATAAGAAGCTTAATTCTGGAACACCCTGCAGTCACAGAGCCTGGCTGAAAGTGATGGATGGGTTTGAAAGTTATTTGGGCATTTGGATATTGGGAGTGCACTGGCCCTGTTTCCCAGGCTTCCCGTCTCCAGCATAATTTAAAAGGCATAAAAAACCATTACATATGAAACAAGTATATATGGAATACGAAACCCCAGCCTTAACAAAAACGAGTCCAAGACGCTCTTTGTAAAGGGTAAAAAATATACACACACCATGAATAGCTACCCCGCATTCAAGACATTTAGAGTTATTTTGAACATCTTGGAATTTAGGCAGAGCTATTTTCTGCGGAAGAGGTACAATTTAGGTAGAATTACTTTTTGCACAGGTACCCGGGCATGCAGATACCCAGTACTTGCCGGGGGCAGGGAAGGTCAAGGGACTATTTACTTATCCCATCTCAGCCTATCGCGGGGCCTCGCGTTCTGAAAGCTTCCAGCTTACACGGGAAGCTTCGCTACTGGCTGGTTTTCCCAGACATCCGGCCGTGCAGGCCAGGCCCTTCGCTAGGCTCCGACGGCCCGGAGGGATTCCCTCCGGCCGCCCTCCGCCCGCGGCCACGCCAGCGCCCTCAGGCCGCGCAGAAGGCGCGGGTCAGAAGCACCTGGATAGAGGCCGCATGTTGTGGCGCCGCAGCGCCTCCTCTTCGTAGCTCAGCAGTTTCAGCTTGTCCAGCAGGTCCTCCATGAGCACGAACATATGAAAAGCCGCACCGGGGCCGCGCTCCGCCGGCACCTCCTCGCTGCGCTCCCGCTCCCCGCGCCGGGCCGGAGCGCCCTCTTCCGCCATCTTGACTCGTAACCACAGCGACGGGGGCAGGCCCGCCCCGCCGCTGAGGGCTCGGGGCGGTGCCGATGAAGCCCCACGGCCAACCCGCGCGGAGCGGAGTTTTCACCTTTCAGCTCTTCAAGCACGTGAGGGGAGCTGGTCAACTTTTAAACTTTTCTCCCTTCCCGGAAACGAACGTCGGAGCGCCTCGCTCCGGGCAGGTGCGGAGCGGGCGGCGGCGGTAGGCTCGGGCTGAGGTGCGGTGCTCTGCAGCCGGAGGTGCGGAAAAGTGAGTCCGGGCAGCCAAGAGCTGTAGCACTAGCCGCGGGTGCCGGCTGGACGGGCCCTGGGGCGGGGGGGGAAGGCAGCGGGTGGGAAAGCTCCGCTTCCCGGGAATGTGCTTGGCACTGGTGAAGCACCTCGAGTGCTGTGTCCAGCTTTGGACACCTCACTACCAGACAGACTTTGAGGTGCTGGAGCGTGTCCAGAGAAGGGCGACGGAGCTGATGAAGTGCAGCTCTCATGGGGAGCCGCTCAGGTAAGACCTTACCAGTCTTTACAGCTTCCTGAAAGGAAGTTGTAGCCAGGTGGGGAGCGGTCTATTCTCCCAGTTAACTAGTAACAGGACAAGAGGACGTACCCTCAAGCTGTGTCAGGGGGCGTTTAGACTGGATATGGGGAGGAATTTCCCCACTGAAGGGGTTTTCAAGCATTGCAGTGAGCTGCCCAGGTACGTCACCGTCCCTGAAAATGTTCAGGAAACGACTGGACGTGTCACTTAATGCCATGATCTGGTTCAGAAGTTTATCAGTCAGAGGTTGGACTCGATGGTCTCAGAGGTCTTTTCCAACTGAAATGACTCTGTGAATGCAAGACACACCTCGCCTCTCTACTCCTAGCACCAGCCAAAGTTTTTGAGGGGACACACCCCTTCTTGCCATTTCTTCCTTCATTTTGTTTGGGGATTTTTGTAAGCCCTCTTCCCGAAAATACTTCAGTTGTTTCGTTCTGCTGGAAACCAGATGGCACAGACAAGTCTTGAATTGTCCAGAGAGAATAAGTCACTGTTAAAATATTGTTAGAAAATAATTGCCTAACCCTGCAGGCAACCCTAGGCACCTACCTGTTGTTTCAGGTGACCAGCTTTTTGAGAAGAGTGTCATGATTACTTTTACCTTACGTTTTCTCCTGAGCCCTCAGGGCTCTGACCTCTCTCCCGGTGCCAGGTTCCTGCGCTCTGCCCTTTTAGAGAATTGGCGCTGTCGCTGCCTCCCCGAGCGCGTTAGGAATGGCATCGTGACTGCTGTAAGCCTCCTACTGCTCATCATTTCCTCTCTTACAGCTTGCAGGAACTTTGGGTTTGCCAGGCAAAAGAAATGGTTAAGAGAAAAAGTTTTTTAAGCCCGAAGAAGGGAACATAAAAGGTGTGAAATCTTCGCGTGTGTCGAATAGTAGATCTCACTGTAAAATTAGCTGCTTCCCTTAAAGGGATGGCACGAACTTTTATGTTAGCTACTGGAGCTCTGAGCCGTGCGAGTGGATCAGAGTGCAGCTGGAGAGAGGCAAAGACCAACAGCAAGAGAGATTGTGGAAATTTTTTTCCATTCGGAGTGTTTCTCAACAACTGAAGTATGGAGTTAACATTTAAGTTGTAAGGGTTTCATTGTGGGGAGGCAGAGAATGATTTCTCTGTTTTACTGTGGGAAATCCTCTGAAGATTCAGTGAGGAAATTCTAGAAAGCCGGTAGCGTTGTGGCAGGAGACTTTAGCAGTATGTGATTAACATGTCTTTTTGAGAATTTTACGTGTTTGTTTTTCTTGTTTGCTTGTTGGTAAAAATTAAAATCTTCTGGTATTTCCCAGTCCTGGTAAGTGTGTCCATGTTTGAAATGTGTTGTTGTTAAGTTGCATTGAAAAGGAATAAATCAGAATCCTTTGTACTAAGAAATAAATAAAATTTATTTGAAAGGAGGATAGTTCAATATGTGTATCTGCTCTCAAGGAGGTCACAAAGTACACTGAGCAGCCACCAATCCCGATGGCTGTTTGCTGCAGGAGTACTCTGATCAGGTTTCAGCTTGACTGCAGAGCTCAAAAGTGAGGAAATACTTGGATACAGTTTGGTCGCTGATTAACAGAAGAAAGAGAAAGCATGTGTTCTTTTCCTGTAGTGGCCAAAGCAAATCCCCCTACCATTATTTGAGCTGTTCAGTATGTCTTTGGAGATGCATTTTAGCACCTTGCCTTGCTTCTCAGAAACCCTGGCTGAGCTGCTTTCCAGTTGAGCCTGTGGTGATTCTGTATGAAATAATTCTCCTGAAAACTAGAGCATCAGTAACTAACATGACTACAGCGAACTTAATTCTACTTGTGCACATTATTTCATATTGATGTTTCACTACAAAGCCTTAGGGCATGACTTCTTGGTTGTGCCACTTAGGTCTGTGACAAACAGGTGTTGTTTGTTTGTTGAGTGTTTGTTCAGTACTTTGCAGTGTGAATCTAATTATCAGCAGACACACACGTTATTCCTGTAAGACCCCAGAACTTGCTGAAAAGACTGGCCAGAACCTACACTCCTCAGATTTTTCTACAGGCCCGCATACATTTTTCTCTAATGGGAAGGTCCAAAGCTACGGTTTGTGCTGAACATGAAAATTTTCAGTTAAGTAGTTGTAGCTGTTGTATTTTGGAGCAGGGTTATGGGGCACAGCTAGAAGGTGGGAGGCAGTGTGCACTGTCCATGCAGCCCCCAAAGGCATCACAGAGGTACCACTGGAACCATGTTACTCTCAGAGCATCACTGCCAGTTTAAGGTGGCATGTCATTAAACATGGCAGATCCCTCACTAAGAGAAATATAGCATTGATAACAGTTTCTGAAATTCAAACATCAAGCACAGTATATTTTGTTGATCAAGTTGGAAGTGATAGGTAAATAAGCAAGAAATCCAATAAAACATTATGTGCCCCACTTGCCTGTGCAAGGGGTAAAGAAGATAGATATTGGCAATTGTTGCTTCCATGGAACAAAATTATATATCAAATGTTTATTTTACCATTAGTTCTAGTTCTGTGTCAGATTCAATGTTTTGATGCCTCTGTTCTTTTTTTGTTTTGTTCAGGTTTTTACTCCTAAAAGAATAGTGAGAATACATAAAACAAGCATGCTACCTTTTCAAAAGAGATAATACTGAAAAATCTTTGGAATTTAAGATTCACGTCCACCACAAATACAGTCTCAGGCACCAGTCAAAATTATTCATAATACTAAAATGTCTGGCTAGCAAGCCTGGCTAAACCAGTTAGAAATGGTACCTATAGCTGCCTTCTGGGGAGAAAAAAAGCACTAGGGAAAAAGCCATTAAAGTTTTTTCAAGTTACTTGATTCATGAGGTAATTTCTCCACTGGGGTATGCTGTATTTTAGGATAAGACTGCATTCTTCCTCCACTCAGGTAATAGTTACAGTAAGGTTATTCTTTTTCTGTTATGCATGAGAGGCTCCAGTTCATTGCTGTCTGACAAAACAAAAGATACGAAGAGTCTCCTCCTCCTTCGCATTCCTACCCTAGATTTCCATGCACTCCTTGTTGAAAGTATAAAAAGTGTGAAAAATTGTCTATATCTGCAGTATTTGCAAATGCAATTAAATTTCCCACCCCAGAAAGTCAAATGTTGCAGTAATCAGAAAAATATTTTAAAAAGTAAAGAAAATCAGGCTTGACAAGGGACATCTTACATACTTTTGTAAATTTTACGTGACCAGTTTTCCTTGGTGTCCTGCTCTGGAATGAGGAAGATTAATATTCCCTAGCCCTGCAACAACACTGATAGTAAACACTTTCTATTTATTAAAAATAAAGTATAAATCTGCAAGGGCCTGCAAGGCAATGAGTGGGCTCCACTATTATGTAATGAGTAGGATCACATAATGAATGACTTTAATGTCAAAAATCTGGACCAAGTCTTTTGCAAACAAAACACATGATACAAAGGCCTATAGTTCTTAGAAGGTGGTAGAAAGGAAATTATATATGGACATGTCTTTTATCTGCATTTAAACAGGTTTTCTGCCCAGCTTTTGTTTTGCCAGTTTGACCTGAATCTACGAACCAATGAAGAAATGAAAGGACAGAACATACCAGCTGGCATGATCTGTTTATTTCACATCAGTGCTACACTTTGGGGTAGGTTGTAGCTGAAAAATAATAAAGAAGACCATTATTATAATTTTTATTAAGAAGAGGTAGTGAATTCAAACACTGTTTATTAATGATAAAAAATCAATTTTGGGTAATGTAAAACACTTCTGAAGCCAAAGACTGCTTGTCAGGTTGCTGCATGGATGGCTGTGGCCATTGAGCCCCCAGACTGTTACCTGCCAGGATTTCTGTCCCACTGGCTGAAAAGCAGGGAGTGCTTTTCAGTTCAGACTGAAAATAATTTGCATCAAATTGGCTGACTTTGCATTGAGAAGACTAAGGAAAAGTCATTTGGATTGTTCTGCCAGATGAGCTAGAGACAGCAGCAGAATGTCTGAGAAGGTAGCTGCCCCTGGGCACTCACTACCAGCCTAACAGGTTGTCTGACCTTGGCCAAGAAGTCAACATGATGATGCTAAGTCAATGCAGTCAGTTTTTTTAAAGATTAATTTAAAAGTGCTCTTGCATGCTAGCAAGGCCTAACTTAAATGTTGACAGAAATGAGATGCTACCACTTCTGTCAATTTGTGGAATGCACACCTCAATTATGTCAAGGGGCTGAGACAGAGCTTCCTCATCCTGTCTGTGCTGGCAAAGCTGTTTCAAGAACTTCTGTCCTTCCCACCAGTTGCAGAGCCATGTCTTTTTTCCCTGTGATGGTACAACTGCTTGGCACTGTGTGGTGGTGGTTGGTAAAATGGGGCATTGCAGCATGGCACTGTGAATGTTTGAACACGTAGGAAGCTGTGGCTCAAAAGGCTTTTGAAGTCTTAGGTGGAAAATATGTGATTCAAGGTGTGGAAGCACATCTGAAGCTCAGGTGGTTAGGTGGCAGTGAGCTGATTTGAGTATGTACGTGCTTACTTGGAATTCCTATGTTAACTGATTAGAAGTTCAAAGAGCAGAGCTCTGTGTTATAATCCTCATTAAACTGAATGGACACCCTTGCTGTTCCAAGAGACTCATGTGACAGAAAAGTCATGAAACAGACGTTGGCACGCCTGCAAGAGCATTTTTTTGTCAGGGATAAAGAGGTGAAGAAATATACTTGTAGACTGGATTAAACTTACTCATTTGTACTTATGGGCTTTAGGTTTTACAGAACAGGAAGAAGTAACAGGGCTGTTTTCTGAGGATTGCATCCTCCCTTGTCGTTTCCCACCTGGGCATGATGAAGTAATTCACTGGAGCAAAGAGAACAGAAATGTGCACAGTTACTACCAGCAGCACGATCATCTGGAAGAACAAGATCTACATTACAGACTCAGAACACACCTTTTCCATGAGAACATCCCTAGTGGAAATGCCTCCTTGAAACTTAGTAACCTGACCATGACTGATGAGGGCTCTTATACCTGCTACGTGGGAACAGCACAATATCGAACAGAAGTGGAAGTGCAGCTACGTGTAAAAGGTCAGTAAGGCATCAAAAACCCTTGGATCACACCACCGCAAATGGAATGGCACCAGTAGATTTCCTTGTGTTGTTTCTCCCATGGAACCAAAATCCTCCAGCCCAGCAGAGCACCTTTTGGGCCTGATGGTGTTATGCAGCAGGTTTTTTCCTCTGGTGAAATATTGCAACAAGGATTTGAAAATTTTATTTTTGTTTTCATAACCTACTGCACCCTGACTTCTAAGGGCTAATTATGTGGTACACATAATGTGGCTTCTCAGAACAGTACAAACTTTGGCCTTGTAAGTAGCTATGCTTTCTTCTGAAATCAAACACAGATGAAGTTTTGTTCTTGGCTATATTCATTCTCCCCAATGGTATTTCAAAAGAGTAATCAAGTTAAAAACCATTTTGTAAGTGGTAGGATTTATTTTTTAAATTATTTTTTCATCTACAGCTCCTTCTTCTTATGCACTGGAATACCAAAAGACAAACACAGAAAGGAGACTGAAGTGCTATGCTTTTCTCACTTATCCAGCACCAACTATATCTTGGGTACAGGGCAGTATATCCATCCAAGAGACAGATCGGGAGGAAACTAGGAATGGAGTTCTCTATTCTCTTAGAAGTGACAAGGACATCATAAATGTGACAGATACTTACTACTGTCATATTCATTTGGATCATGAAGTGTGGGCCGCTGAATGGAAAATGCAAGGTAGGAATGAAATCTCTTTCAGCACTGTTACTGAATTTCACAGCTGGCTTCAGAGTCAAACTAAATACAGTCTTTCTGCAATGGGGCAATATGGATGTGGGACAGTAGAAAAGGATATACCTTTCTCTTTGAAATGCATTGTTACGATTGCAAGGCAGCATTACAAGTTCCAAGAAGCAGGAATAAGAGGGGCTAGCTCACCCTTCTGTAAGTTACCTTTATTCTTAACATCTTTTTTATATCCGTTTCACATTTTAAGAGGTGCCTAATAAACAAACTTTACCCTCTATCAATAAAAGAATTCTGCCCATTGGACAAAATACATGGAAACCTTAGAGAATATGTGGGTTCTGTGAGGGAGGTGAAAGTTTGCCTGCTGCTCTAGCTGTATATGATCTGTTTGATCCTTTCATTGTACTTCTTCTCACATGCATCCTTCAGTACCAGTCTTGAGTGCTGGGGTGTGTGGGAATGGAGAGCAGCAAACAGTTTGCATTTTAGTGAACAGCAGCTAATTGTTTTCAGTTAAGGAAAAGCAGGACTATGAAATTTCAGCTCTGCTTTGTCTTCCTCCTGAATTTCATTGGAAATTCAGTTTGAGTAGATAAATGGTGGTTTTCAGCCTCTCCCTTAGGAAATACTTTTAATTGAAGGAAGACCAATGCAAGAGCAGTTCTCTTGTGTGATGTGCATGGATGCTTCCATCATCCTGATTACCCCTAAAGTGTATCCAGACACTCTCAGTTCCTAACCTACTGCATAAGCTCCAGAATAAGAGAGCAGTTTTTAATTTACATGGAATAGTTTACAATATGGAAGTATGCCATCATTTCAAGTATGCCATCATTTCAAGTATGCCATCATAGTAGCTACCAAGTGCACTGTGTCTCTTTTGTTATCTATGCCTGATCCACAAGAGAAAAAGGTACATTCCATTACACATGTAGTTGCATTTCCCTGCATCCATCTAACCCCTTAGTAGAATATTTTGAAAACAAACTGCTCTGCTTTTTTTCTATAATAGCAGTGTGGGGTACAATTCTGATTTTTTTGTCTTTATGATTTTTCAGCCCTACACCTTTGGTCATTAAACCCCCCTCCCCAGAAATCAAGTGTAGTTATACCATGTCAAAATAATCTATCATGTTCCTCTCCAGCTGACTGCCAGCCACCACTCCTGTCAAATCCCTGCTGTCAAATCTGTAGTTGTGCTATGATGTTAATTCCTCTTACATTAGTATTTTATATATTAGTTGTTAATTCCACTTACCTGCCTTCTCCTTCCCTTTCCTGTTTTTTTAAAGCTATTTATTAATTGTTAAATGTTCAACATGGACAAGTAAAGTATTAAGTTCACCATAACTGAAAGTTATTTCTAACTACATACCATCTTTTTGTTCTTTTAGTTAAATTATGTTGTGTTTTATCTTTTTGCTTCAGATGTGCAGTTATCTGATCAGTTCCATTTTCACTCAGTTCCTAGCATACAGAATTTCCTGCTGTTTTACACAGTAACCTAGACTAGACTGACTCACTTCTATTAATGAGCCCCTCAATTAGAGGAAAAATAGTCAAATCTTTAAAAAAAAGGATATTCATAAATATTGCCAATACCAATTAGATTTTTTAGTGTAAGATATGCGTGTTTTTAAAATCTTCAGATGCTTCCAGAAACATACTGTGATATTTGAATGCAATATCTAAGTAGTGAAATATGTTTTTGTATTTGTTCATGGTAGTATCAAACCTAAGAAAAAAAAAATCAGAAAATGTCAAAATAACCTTTACAGTATTTTCCAGAAAAAGTGCAGAGAGCTCTTTATGTGTTTCAGAGCACCTGCCTAAGGTGGAAGGAGAGAGCACCATAATTCCTTGTGAACACGGCCGTGACCCTGCAAGCACTGATGGTTTCAGTGTTGTCTGGACATTACACAGAAATGCAGTGACCTCAGTCCTGGCCTCCTTCAATGGCACGTCTCACTCTCACCAGCCTCGAGTCCAGGTTAACGAAAATGACTTTTCACTGAGGTTGGATCATCTTACTGCAGGCGACAGTGGCGAATATCTGTGTAATATTTCAACACCTCTCTACACAAAGCTTGCTGTGACAACTTTGCACGTCGGTAAGTTGCCACTCTTTGCATTTCAGAGGATGTGGACCAGTTAGGACAATGCATAGCCAAAAAGTCAGTCAGAAATCTCAAAAATAATCATTACATAAAAAGAATCAATACTACGAGAATGAGTTAAAAACTAGTCATGGAAACAGCTCTAGAGTTCAGAATATACCCCTTGGGGGGGACATGGGCTCCACTGGAAGATGCTTTTCCCTGTGAATGTCTTCAGCCTTCATTACATGAATTAGGTGAGAATGCAGTGGGACAGCAGGGATGGCTGTTTGCCAGCTCTCAGTACGCTGATGCAACATGCACTTACTTTTGTGTCATTTGGTGTGATTGGTACAGTTGGGTGGAAGAGAGACATATTTTATTTTTGTTGGCTCAGGGGAAAAAAAAAAGTTACCAAATGTTTATTTAAAGACTAGAAGTTTATTTTTTCAGTCAGCAGCTTATTGTGGCAATGGTTACAAAATCAGCCTTCAGTTGCCACCAACTGCTCTCATAGCTGAGGACACAGCAGGGCTCTCAGAATTCTGTCCTAAATGCTCTGCTGACAGCAAACATAGCTTTCAACGTAGCAGACAGATGATGGGAAGCCCAAAGCTTGTGGTATGTTTGGCTGCAGAAGAAGGCTTGTTGAGAACACAGTTGTTATTTTCAAAGCTTTAATTCTACGCAGCAAGCCTTTTTTAGACCTGGATATATATATACACAGTTTGGTGCTGTGCAGAGGTTTCTTCTAGGTGGGCTTTAATCTCCTGTGGAATCCATGGTTATCACTCTTATCAGGATTTCTTGTGTCCACCTGGATTGCGTGGTTGCACTATGAAGCTGTGCAATGTTTCAGATTAAAGTTGCAAAGATTTTGCAGCAGGAGTCATGAAATTTATGATCCAGGCTGGATAACATTTACAGAACTGCTCTAGTGCAAATCAGTAGTGCTGATGGCACTGAGCACCATACCTGGAGACAGTGCCCAGCACACTGGGCAGTTGATTGGTTTTAAATGGGACTTGTATTAAGAAATTGTCAAATCCTGTCCGGTGAGCGCGGGAATTTGCTATCAACACAACTAAATATAATAATCTGCTTTCAGCTATTCACACGTCAGTAAAGCATCACTTCAAAGTCTTACAGTATGAGTCAAGTAACTTGAACATTGTTGTCCGTGTCTGTTTCCTTTTAATGTTTCTTTCTCCCTAAATCATACCTTTTAGATTATAAATAAGAAAAAAATCATAGTTTTGATATATTTATTGAACAATAAGCACTTCTTTTTTGTACTTGTATTTTTAAAGAAAATTCAGGTATCACTGGGAAAAGTGTGTGGGGAATACTTGGTGCAGTGGCAGTAGCAGTGGCAATAGCAGCGGTACTTTGCTATCTCAAGGTATGTACAATCATTAGAGTACTTATCTTTTAAGTTGATACCAAGCCCCTCAAGATTTGAATAAGGGTTTTAGCCAAACTTTGGAACTTTAAAAAAATTGGTAATCAGTAGCTGTAGCTAGACAGTTGTGATTAAACAACTGTGTTGTTAGCATTGTTTGCTAGGCTGATCTTCTGCTTTAAGAAAAAGGGAAGGCAATCCCAATGTGAACAGACTGTCTGGACAAGGAGCACCGCAGTAAAGTCAAAAGAACTGAGCAGTAAGTGGGGAAAGGTAATTCTGGCAGTGGGAGATTGAAACCCATTGACCACCTCCTCAAAAGGGACCCCCAACTCAAATTGAAGGGAAGTACCTAAATCCAGACTTTGAATGTTTGTCTGAAGATTTTGTCACAGTCTGAATTTAGTAAGCATCAGGAGACATTTTATGGGTACCATGAGGTACAGCAAAAATACATGAGAAAGAAAACTCTGAAATATTATGCCGTTTGTCTGAAGATTTTGTCACAGTCTGAATTTAGTAAGCATCAGGAGACATTTTTCATTTTTCATGAAAAAAGACATCAGTCTTTTTTCATTTTTCTCTCTACACAGAGATTCACTTGCATGCTGCTTATTAAACAGTTGTAACGTGCTTTAGACGTGGTAATATACTTTGAGATGCAGTTGTCTAAACAATTTAAGCAAGATTAAGTTATCTTGGGACCTGTTGGGCTGTCAAAAATATCATAATCAGAGAAAGTGGAACAGCTGACAGGTTAATTCAGCTCTGGTTACATTGATGGAGGACTAGATGGAAAAACCAGGAATGTTTCTGCACTGTTGTGTGGATGCTTATTTTACTCAGATAAAACTAAAATGGAAAATGCTGACTTATCTTTATGTTGAGTGTGTCTTGTTCCCCCACTAGGGAATTAATTTTGCATATCAGTAGTTCTTATAAGTATTTTTATTTTGTCTAGAAAAAAAGGAAGAGAGAAATTGTATGAACACCTTGACATATGGGAAGAAAATAGCTGTCTGCACACAGATACTACTGACACTGATGATGAACAAAGAGGTCCTCCACCTTCCCCTTTGAGTTACAGTAAGAGCCGCATGGAAATGTGATTTTCTGAGCAACACTAATGGACAAATGGGGAGGAAGAAAAGTCAATGGACACTTGTATGTGAAAAGTCATGGAGCAGGGCATCTCACCCCCCACATGAGCTTATCTCTTACTTTTTAACTGGTGAGTTAACTCAAACCATGCGGGCTACCCCGGCCGGTCCTGACGGGGTGTCCACAAATCCGAACGGGTTTCCCCGGACACTGCGTCCACAGTGCCCGCAGCCAACCTTCCACCCGTGCCCAGATGTCGTAATAAAGTGTCCTCACCAATGAGAGACGGGAGCGCTCGCTGTATGACAGTTCACCAGAGTTTATTGCAGGAGAATCCGAGGGTACAGACGTCGTGGAGAGGGGCAGGAAGGATCAGGTGATGGAAGGAGGAGGTCGGAAAGAAGTAGGGTGACAACTGCTGGTGAGGGAACCAGGGACAGCGAACTAGGAGCTGATCACACAGCAGCTGACAGGCAAGCCTGAGAGCTGTGGCAAAAAGCCCTCCCAGTGGGGGTGGATACAACTGCGGTATATAAACTGGGGAGGGACAGGAGGGGGTCAGGGTACAATTCAGCCAATGGGAAGGTAGGACAGGGGAGAAGTTGGGATGGTGTAATGTAGAACAGACCAATAAGAAGTAGGAAGGAAGTGACAAGAACTGGGGAGAACCAATAACAAAGCTGAGAATACAGAACTTTCTAGAAAGTGGGGATGATTGACACATGGTCATTTGCTTGTGGGAGTGAGGGATCATGGGAAAATGAGCCACTCTCTCATCCTGAGTTACACGTAGGAATCTTCCCATCGCATCCCAGGAGTGCTGTCCCCAGCACCGACTCCCACAAAACCAGACAGAGCTGTCTTGTAGTGAGTTATTTTGGCACCATGGGATTATCATCTGGAAAGACAAACTGGAATTCTGACTGACAGACACCTGCCTTTACAAACTACATAAGCTACACCAAACTTTGACAAATCAGAAATCTTCTGCACATTTTCCTGGAAACGTGGAGTTTCCCCTCAGAGCAGGGACGCCTGTTTTGCGGTTGCTCCTCTGGAGGCTGAGTATTTTTTTGCTAGTTTTAATATAGGTACCTTGATATCATGCACTGTTTTGTGTAATCTACTCCCAGTTCTTTTGTTTTATACTGTGTCAGAATTAACTCAGGTTAAGACCTTTCATGTGTTGCCTCCTGTCTGTTCAATAAATAACTCATTTTATAAATACACCTGATCTGCCATCCTTAGAACTTGCGGGCCAGAGCGATTTCTTAAATTTAAGCTGTTGCCAAAAATCTGAGGCTAAGGCAAAGCGTCTGTGAAGCTCCCATTTCACTTGTCCTGTGACAAGTCAATATGCAAAACTGGATTTCCTAAAGGGACAAAGAAGTTTCCAGAGAAGAAATCCCTACATTTTGAGGGGTTTTGGTTTGGGGTTTTTTTTTTTTTTTTTCAGGGTGAGGGGAAGAGAGCTTACTGGTTTTCATTTAATTTAGTATTTTATTTTTAAGACCATGTCTGCTGTCGACAGTGGCAAGTCTGAGCCCCACAGAGTGCGCTGGGCTGGCAGTGGTGGGGTAGCAGAGAAGTGTCCAAGTGGGAACAGCTGTGGGGAACAAAACAGTGGCAGACTGAGGTGTGAGAAGCTGAATGCTGCCAAACACAGCCTAGCACAGCGGTCTGGAAAATGGGCCGTGTGACATGGACGGTCCAGCTTTTGGGGGTTTATCCATCATTGTTCTCCATTGTCTTGGGCTTAGGGATAGGAAATGTTAGCTGTGGGAGCCTCCCCCACCTGCTTTTGTCCTGGGGGCCACATGGTGTGTGGGAATGGCTGCCACCTTGTCTTAGTCTAGAAAAACATGTGGAGCTGGCAGCACTGGAATGGCTGCCATCTTGTCTTTGTCCCAGTAGCCACATAGAACTAAGTTGAAGTGGTGAACACGTTTATGTGGGTAAAGCATCTCTTCTTATATACTTTTGTTATTTACATTGTTGCTCTTTGCTTTCAGTAAATTATCTCAACCCACAGTCTCTGCTTTTGTCTCTCTCTTACCAGAAAGGGGTGGGGGGAAGGGGAGTGGCTTATTTGGAGTTTAATTTTTCTGGCTGGTGTTAAACCACCAGGGACCAGCTCCCTGTTTAAAGGCAGGAAAGATTGAAGAGAATTCTTTATTTCTGAGCCAGAGGAAGGTGTCCCTTGATGCCATCTCCTGTGCTTGTCCTGCAGCTGGCAAAGAGAAGTTCCTTGACTGGTGGTAGTGGAAGCTTATAAATTGACTGTTTATATGGAAATCTTTACTTTATCTTCTGCAAAACTCAGGGTCCTACAGGCAGGACAAATGGAAGCGGGGTTTTCCCAGCTTTAAGGGCTGTCCCTTCCACAGGTTTAATCTGTGCTGCTGTCCTGGTTCCAGCCAGGACAGGGTTTTTTTTTTGCAATAGCCATGAGGGGATATGACCAGAACCCTAATGTTATTTGATGCCACCGACTTCATTGGGGTGGGGGTGGGGAGAGGGACTGTCTGTGTGGTAAAAGGGGTTCATTCAGGGAGGGGTCTATGGTGAGCATTTCTGCATGTGCATCACCCTCTGTTTTGTATACTTTTTTTTTGTTACTATCGTTGCTGTTACTATTAATTTTCTTATCTCATTGCTGTTTCCAGGAAATTGTTCTTAGCCCGTGATTTTTCACATTTTGTGCTTTCAACTCCCAACTCCATTCCAACAGTGGGAAGGGGGAAGGGGAGGGGGAGCAAGAGAGTGGCAGTGTGGTTTGAGAGTGAAGGGAGAAGTACTGTTCATAAACCAGGACAGCTGCTTTAACAGTCTGCATATGAAATACGTGAGGCTGTGCAGCATGACTGGATTTGCCCTTAGTTTTGATTCTGTCAGAGATCTGCCAATTAGGATTTGTTCCAACATAATGAAGTCGACTGTTGGCGAGATGTAATCTTCTATTGATCCCTAAGGCTTGGCAAAATAAAAACACAAATAAATGAATGAAATACGCTATACAGTGTATTTGGATTTTCACTTGATGTTTATTTCTGTAAGTGCTTATTATTTTCTACATCCGCTTTCATTTGTGCCTGATTATGTAAGTGTTTTCTCATATTCGTCAGCTTGGACTTTTTTATTCCTCTTCATGAACCTGAAAGGCAATTGAGATAGTATGCAACTGTTAAAAATAGAAGTGTCAAGAGGTTTTAATGTAAGTTCACAAGTAAGTGACAAAAGCTGCACTAATGCTTCTGTTCCCTGGTATTACCAGTTTGTATCTGAAATAGACTAGCAGCAGTCTAGCCAACATTTGCCATCTTATTCCAGCTAACAGTGCAGGTATCCTGTCCTTGTTCTAGATTATATAGATCCTTTTGATGGCAGACCCTTTCTTAATAGATGGTAGTGCTCTGAATGACACACACTCCCCAGAGTATCCAGAAAATGGGTACTGGTAGCAGTAGACGAGGTATTTCTAAAGCTACAGGATTAAAGTAGTCTCTACAGTGCCCTTCTCTCCCCAAAGGAGATGCTGTGATGTTTGGGACAGTAGTCTCCACCTGAATGTGTTTCCTGGCAGCTCCTGCAGTCGCTGCCACTAGACCCTTCTTGTGGAGCTGCCACCGCTGTGTGCACCGAGCTCATCTTTTGGCATTGCAACACTCGGCTCCATTGCCAGAGCTGCACTTGGTGTTGGCAAACAGCATCTGACTAGCAAAAACAGGCATCCACTTTCCTGTGACTTCTGCATGTTTGAAGCAGAAAGAGGGTGCCACTAAGGTACAGGAAATAAACAGCAACCTTAACAGCATTTAAAAAAATAAATTATTCTCATGGTGTACCTGTTTCAGTATTTGTGTGATGCCACGGCTTTATGAATCTTTAAATTAATTTCTGTTGGTTTTGATTTTTTTTTTTTTTGTAGGGGTAGAATAATTTAGAAAAATTTGTAGAAATTTTTTATCCTTAAAAGCTGCAAATCTTTTGTGGTTCCGTTACAGTACTGCTTCCATTGTACATAAATGTGTGATAAACCAGATATTCAGGTAGTTTTAATGTGTCTTTGCCGTGGATGGTGGAGCAGCAGTAATTTATATCAGTCAAAGGTGATTTCATTAGGCCAATACAAAAGCAGAAATTAAGAGTGTAAAGGGGTTTTCTCCCTTTCTTAGCTTGGGCGCTATCAACTCCATGAAACATATGTGATGTTAAGCATGGAAGTTAAGCTTGGAAATGAAGGAGATTTAGCAATGACCCAGCTCCTCTTTCTATCATTCCTAAAAGTAACAACCTCATTTTTTTTTGCCCTGTTTGCCACAAGGCAACCATAGATAAGTTTGCTTTCAGTTCCAAACTAAGTTCTTAAGTGCCTTCTAGTTTCATCAACATTATTCTCCTACCACTCAGTTCAAGTGAAAAACACCACAAATACATTTCTAATCACTAATGACTTCCCAGCACCTAAGTGACTAATCACCAATATTTTCTTTTCATCTAGCTCTTCCAATCAATACAAGTTCATTGAAAGAGCAATGTTAAAATATCTGCTAATGTGGTAATACCCAGGCTCTACTATATACATAGAAATCTACATCATCAGGGAGAGAAAAAGGTGGAGTCTTTTAATATCCCTTGCAAAAAGAAACCCCAAAACCCAAACCAAACCCACCAAATCACCAGTTCTGCTGCTGGGAACAGAGGTTAAATGACAACAAAAATACAGAGAATATATTTTGTCTAAGGGTCAGATTGCTGTCCTACAGGGTTACCTTAATATTAAAATAAAGGGCAGAGTGAAACAAAACAAATGTAGAAACCCAAGAATTTATCCTAGTCTACACTACTTTCAGAGATGTAGCAGATACAGAGTATCCATTATTGTGTGTTAAATGCTCACATCTACCCCATACAGTATGGCCATACCTTTTTCATGCCAATGTCTCTTGACTTGCTCCTCAGCTTATTAACTTGAGATTCAGCTATTTCAGCCCTTTCTTCAGCATCATCCAGATCATGTTGCTGTTTTCTGTACTTTGAGAGGTACAGATTGGCTTGAGCTTCCTGTGGAGAAAATAGAGTGCAGCTGATTTCCTCCTGTCCACATGAAACAAAGCTTTTAATTTCAAGTGGGATGGAAAGTGCTCAGCATGAGTAGGTAACAGCTGTATGGGCACCACTTGCCTCCTGCAGAGCTAAGACTGTTGTTTTGCAGAGTTATTATTTCTAGTGGCATTTTCCATGTTAAGTGAACTGAGAGGCTCTCAACGTGTCTTCTGAGGGGCTAGGAGGGGCTGAGGGGCTGTTCTTTCCTCCCTTTCTCTTGCAAATTATGCTGCAGTCTTAGGATAAAATGGAATACTGTTTCTTAAATATAATCAACACATATGCTATATATTTTACTTTATATATAATATCAATACAGTTTTATGTGCAGGGCTTATATAGACATGAAAAGAATTATTTGTGGACATAAAATGTGTATTTGTACTAGAAGCTTCTATGGATAAAACATATGGATATGTTTAGAACAATACATCTCTCAAAGGTAAAAAGGCCCAGATAGTTACTTACAGCTTCCTCTGCTTGGTGCTTGTAACTCTTCACTTTTAATTGTAGCTTGTCAATCAGATCCTGCATCCTGGCAAGATTCTTCTTATCTTCTTCTGACTGTATCAAAACACCATTAATTGGGTTGATAGAGTAAGAAGGCTTAAAGCATCTACCACAATACAATAATTATATATGCCATACATATTGTAGAAATATATAGCTCAAAGCACAAACTAACCATGTCCTGTGTACACATGAAAAAAATTTCTACATCATCACTGAAAATGTGTGTGTGGAGGGTGAAAACTGAGACTACCCTTCCCATGTATAGATATGTAAATATAAATGTATGTAAAGAAATATGTGCACACACTTTTAGAGGTGTGCAGATACACACAGGCAGAGTTCCTTGCTCGGGGGTGAGGAGCATGCTTATCATTACAAAGCGTGTCATTATATATTGAAGCAGATATGGGTGAGCCTAGAACTGTGTAATTTGCATAATTTGAAGTTTGATTTGCAGGCATTTCTGGTAAAAAAAAGCCTGGTTTAAGCTGTAATGCTCCTTAAGCAGAGGAACCAGCTAATTCTGCCCGCACACTGTATTCAGTGAAAACAACCTTCAGCTTCTGCATACAAAAGTCAAACAACAGGTAGGAGGCTAAATAATCTCCTAAGGCAGATGGATGGGTTTATCTTCTTAATGCTGCTCAAGGAAAAAGGATAAGTGCTCTGTGCTGCAGGCCTTTTTTGAAGGCCAAGCAGCATGAGCAGCTGTTAGCAAACCTGCAGGAGGCTCAAGACTGGACCCTGCTGCTCAATAATAGGTGACAGAGCCCTGGGACTCAGCAACCCTACGCTGAGCAGGGCATAGAGCCACCTGAGTTCTTCTGGCTTCTTTTAGCAACAGCACAGCTGAGAGGGAGCTGGGCTCTTTCTTCCCTTGCATTGTAAACAGTCATTGAAGCCTGTTCCATATTAATCCTGTGCTAAAAATGTCCAAACCCCAGCAACAGAGGCTTTCTAACATTAGTTACAGCAAATCAGGCAAGAGGATGATGATCACTGGCACAGGTTGCCCAGAGAAGCTGTGGATGCTCCATGCCTGGCAGTGTTCAAGGCCAGGTTGGATGGGGCTCTGAGCAGCCTGGTGTAGTGGAAGGTGTCCCTCCACATGGCAGGGGCATTGGAATGAGATGGTCTCCAAGGTCCCTTCCAACCCAAAGCATTCTGTGATGGAAGCCGTAGGAAGATGTTCCTCCTGTGCCTAAAGCTTCCAGCAATGAGAAAGCTCTGACTAAGGCCATCCATACTCCTTCACTGTAACCCTGAGGCTATTTATGATGTGTCTTGCCAGTTGCCTGGTGGTTACTGCATACCTGGTAAGTCAGCTCCTTTATGCGTCTCTCAAACTTGCGGGCTCCTTTTTGGGCATCCGAATTGCGACGGAGTTCAGTCTCAAGTTCATTCTCCAGCTCACGAACCTGCAAAAAAGGAAAAACCCTTGCCATTCTGCTACAAAAATGTAAAGCAGTACGTAATTTGGTTCACAGTTCAAGAAATGCTAGGTATCTCCATAGAGTTAAATTTCAGGAAGAGATTGAAATGTCACCTTTCCACTCTGTTTTTTCATAAAAGACATGTGCAAAGGCCAAAAAAGTTCAAACGCCACAAAAGTTTAACCAAAGCAAGCGTTGGGAGACACTTTTACTGGTTTTAGGTGCTGGGGCTTTTAATTCTTTATTAATTAAGGGCTTTGTTTATCTGCTGGTCAGCAGCTCATAGATGGATAATGAAGGGGAAGCATGCCTCCAAGAACTGCTCACCTGCATTTTGTGAAACAGAGGAGAGTGTCCATACTACCCCTTCTTGGCCTCTGTGAACTTATCAGGCAGCACTATGCTACTGGTCTGGTGCCAATTCTTTAAGCAGAAGGCAGTGGTCTGAAGTTGGTTCACAAACTTACCCTGGATTCCAGTTTTTGGATCTGCTTCTTGCCACCTTTCAGAGCTATTTGTTCTGCTTCATCCAGTCGCTTCTGAAGGTCTTTAATGGTTTGCTCCATGTTCTTCTTCATTCTCTCTAAATGAGCACTGGTATCCTGCTCCTTTTTGAGCTCCTCAGCCATCATTGCTGCCTGAAAAACAGCCACATTTTACAGGAAATCCCGTATGCTGTTGGATTATGATTTAGAATAAATGGTGGAAGATCAGTCCTGAACCATCCCTTATTTGGATTATTCACTGTAGGCAAAGCTCCACAGAATACCTTCTGTGTGCATACCTTGCCTGGACAGAAAAACGTTGGAGGCCTTTTTCCCCCTCTCTGTTCTAATGCTTTTATTTAAGATTCCACTTCTCCCTTTTCTTGTTGTATTTATCCCTGTGCTCTATCCCTATGAACCAC